CTAGCACATGTACGACTTCCCTGTTGAGTTTCCATGATCCAGTTGCATAATCAGGTGCCCAATAGCTTCCCATCTCGCCTTGCATTACTGCAGCATTGTCGCTGTAGGCTGAGACGGTGTAGTCGGGCGTCTTCTTGTGCGTATTTCGGATCATGTCGAACAGACTCAAATCCTTAGTTACACCATCTATAGTCCAGCTCGCATTAAACTGCCTACGGTTCATTATTAGTTTTATTCGCTAATGCGAATGTCTAAGGGCGGGCCAATAGCAAAGGAAGGCTACCGCGAAGGTAGGCACGAAAGCAACACTCATATGTTGGGTAAGAGAAGATAGGTAGGTGGGAGTACTATGTATGCCTTAAGCTTATGGTTACTTACTTATGACGACAATGTTCGGAGTTTACTTGAGCGAACATGAAGAGCTCAATGTCATTCGGGGGTCGTCCAAGCTGAGTAAACTCTTGGACTAGGTATTCCATTTCGGATTGATCCAGGGCCAGGCCGTGTTCGGCATTGTATGCTTTCAGCATATCAAGAGGGCTTTGGCTTCCGGAAAATATATCCACAACTTCTAGGGGTAAGGGCTCCCGTTCTATGAACATGGAGTCAAGATCTGGCTCGCTTGTAGATATGATCTCCGTCATTCGGTCGAACAGTAAATCCTTGAATGGAATTTCGTCGCTATTCAAGGGCTGCTCGAATTCTAAAGTGACGGATCGCGCCCGTTCAACTCGATGAACCTGGTCTGCGAGGCCGCAGACTTCGCAGACCTTGGTAGCCTTGGAGCTCCATGGAGAAATGTTCCTGGGCGCTATATAATATGTGCGCGTGTAGCCAGTATGTGTTAGAGGCGACGGGGTAGCATCGCTAGGCAATGGGAGTAACTGTTGGAGTTTGGGTCCGACAACGTTCTTATCACCTTTGATATGCGCGTAATAAATCCAGGAGCCTAGGATATTGGTAACCTTGGCAGATGCAGTCTGGTTGATGCGATCTTTTAACTTGTTAGCCTCGGAGGGCGTGAAGCAAGACTCTCCGGTAAGGACGATGTATTCCATCTTGCCCAATAGCGACCAGAAGGTCCGAGGATATTTAAGATTTGAGGCTCTAATGCAACCAGAAGCACCTCTCGATTACTTGAAGACTCATTGAATAGCGTGAAGAAAATGTTCACAACTATGTGGGGTTTATAATTAGTTTTCTTTTGGAGGGGTATATGAAGACCCTGTATGTACAGTTAATGATAAACTGACCAATCATCGATGAAGTACAAACCCAATTCTGTAGGTCTCGAGTCAAACGTGCGATAAGACGATAAGCATCAGCGGATGTGACATTCAACCGCCCCGATCTAAAGATAGGCACCTAGATATGTTCTAGGTTACGTCAATCTTAGGTAAAACTCAGGGGTTATTAGATTTACCCGTAAGAGTATGCTTATCGGGCATTATCCAAAAATTATGACCAGCTGTTTGAAAAGCTCCACAAGTCGCGATTTGCTCTATTATCGCGTACATTAGCTTCATTCCGCCCAAGATAATCAATACTCTTCGGATGAAAATTCGAGTTCCGACCCACGCCGAACATCCCTCGATTCAATCCCGCCTTGCCATGCAATCTAAGTGTTGGCCAATGTGTTACAAAAGGCGTTCTACATAGGATTAGGACAACCGCGCGATCTTCCGCTCTGTCCGGTGCTATTCGATAAAGCGTCAGAAATGCCCTTCCTCACGACGTTGGCCGGCTATGCCGCTCCAACATTCCTGATATTATCTCCTATCCTATCATACTCGGACCAAGCAATCTCTATGCATAGGAATAGATCAAGTGCAGGCTTCTCACTAGATATTCCTCTGATCATGCTTGTCGCATCAATATTCAGGTTTGCCAGCCCCTCTGATCTTATATACAGAAGCTTGCCATGCTAAGAACGTTGCCATTAGGGTCTTCTATTATCCAGGCGCGAGATTCGATGTAGCGTTATTGATTCAGTCGTTCTGCAACATCTTCATCCAAGTTATCCTGCTAAAGATTGCTCTCGATCACCGCCCGCCGCCGTCGTCAAAAGGAGGTGATGCCGCTCTTCCTTTCGCAGGCGCACATGATGGATTCGGGGGATTTCAACGACCTTACAATTTTTGGCAATGGCGGTCACCGAAACCGTACGTTTTACCCCTCGAGGTTTGGGCTTGGCGCTTCTGCTAATCTTAGATGCTAGCTATTGGAAATTTTTATTGTCGTTGTTTATCAGCTTGACTGTACTCGAGCTGTTATTGGCACCATTCGATTCGGTCTACTCTGGATATTCGGACTTGATAGGATATATCGGCTTGTCAGTCGAGGCGACGCTGCCGATCCCGCAGCTCGTTGCCAATGCACGTTCACGATCTTGCAAAGGCTTTCGTTTTTCCGTATTAGCGAGTTGGTTGGTTGGAGATGCCATGAAGATGTTCTGGTTCTTTACGTCTACTACTTCAATTCCAGTGGCGTTCAAGCTCTGTGGAATCTTCCAGGCTATCTGCGACTCCCTCATCGGCGTCCAGTACTTGATGTATGGTGACCAGCAACCTGCGATAAAACCGCAGCAGGGGTGGACATATTCCGGTGTAAAGCCGCAGCATCTACATGTAACTGGGAGGGAAACGCCGACAGGGAGGAGGACACCCCTTGGGGAGAAAACATTCTGAATAATGACTGTAATCCTATTAAACTCGGTGTAGCTTCGTATGCCTGTGATTGTATACTGTATATATGGCCTATAACTTGTAGTTGCAGTAATAGGTGTGGTAATACAATCAGGATTTCAAGTCAAAAATATGAAACATTACTGTAAGGGTGCTAGATTTTCTTTTCTTTACAAAAGTGATAAAATGACAGGCGCACTGGAATAATCACCTACATATAAGAATTAGGATATACGTATGCACCTTTGGGTATAATTGTTAGCTTATACAGTGTACATTTACCCTGTACGGAATAATGAAAAGCAAAACGACGTCCTGCTAAAGACCTGTCGCTATGCTTACCTAATATTGTAACACGCGCTATGATACGCGAGTGGCTGATGTGATACATCGAGTAATTATTCCCCAGACAAGGGTGAGGAAGTCGTGAATTAGTGCTAATGAGTACATTCAACGTCTGACTTTCCCCACGAATAATCAGCTACGAGATGCGATATATATAGCTAAAAGAATACCTATCAGATTGGGGTAAGATACTGGTTTTTATATGTACCAATCTTGCCAACATTGAAGTGATGTGTGTCTTACTTGGACGTGGGGGATTCTGAGGATGTAGTTACGGCTTAACTGATAGGAACCTTAGTGCACTCGACTTTCTCGAGTAGAACGCGCTTAACAAATCTTCTCATTTTAATCTAACTGATACTTAACCGCCATTGCTTTACACATTAAGAAACCCTTTTCTATACATATATTAGCATCTACATCTCCCACTTTGCGACTTCAGATCAAATCCCAGGCGTCTCCTGGCCATAGTCCATTTGTCACTACCTTCAGCCCCTTTAACCTAAGGTAGCGTCAAGTACTAAGACGTGGTATTGTTCATAACCCCTGACATCAATCTGTGTAGGTATATGTCTTGTTTCGACATAACTACCATCCCAACTATACCTATACTCTAGGACCATCTCCAAGTTTCCTATCGAATTATCATCACGCTTTAGAGCGAGATCTTAATTCTTTAGAAACCCCGAGTTCTTCTAGGCCATCGGTCTCAAAAATTGACCTCGTGTTGTAAGTTGAATTTATTTGTTTCACTTCCTCCTCTATTTATTGTGTTAAGAACTATATGGTACTTATGACATCGCCTTCAAACCCCGTTCTTCAAAGTATCTTAAAACCAGGTGCCGCAAGAACAGTCAAAAATCTTTCGTCACATCCTTTTTTTGATAAACATTTAAACCCTCTCGCAACGCTTTTTTCTAGGTAGCAGCATCTCATTCCCTTCTATAAATTACCCGGTTAGGAAGCTATAGAAGTTAGACAAATCGATCTAACTACACAAATATCAAGTTTCAATTTCAAGTTCGCATCTCAAGTTATCTACTAGGCACTTACTTACATAAAGCAGTCAGCAAGCCGTCCTGGAATTTGGAAGCTAGGTGACGTTCAATCATCGTTTAGGTGATTAGTATATTACCATCACCTCTGATTGATCCCGGGATTGCCCAAGACGTTCCTGGGCAAAAACAGTACTATCCGCAAATCGAAACAACATTGAAGAAGTACCGTCTATTTGACGATTGCCTGCAATTACCTGCAATTGCGCAGTAAACTGGTAAGCAAGCTCCTTCTTTAGCACAGCACACCTTCCGGTCTTTTCAATCAACACTCAATTCAATATTTGCCAAACTACTTCACCTCGTATCACCGTCTTAGTCCCTCTATCACTATAACCATTCTTACCGTCTGTCCTAGTCTACCAACAGAGTCGTGCACCATAGGATCCAACTTCTCAGACCTTGCATCAGGTTACCCTAGCTATTTCAGCACCTACCTAATACTTACCAAGGTCTTGATTTTGTAAGTTAATTCTGTTCTTAGATCTGAAGTTGCATATCCTATCCCATCGTTTCTATACCCAACATTGTACGTACCTACTAAAGTACCTAGGCAATCTACTGCTGCTAGGATCACCAATACTTCTTTCTATAACCTTCAACATCCTCCCATTCCCCATATCTTCTCAGACTTAACTTCGTTTGCCTAGCAGCTTTAATTTCCCCTTTACTATCTATTCTGCATCGTCTAAACGTCGCCCCCCCACCCTTCTAAACATTTGACCGTTCTACACGTAAACAACCTATCCTTTCTTTACGGGTATCTTGGGTGTCTTGTCGACTCCTTCCGATACAGCATCTTAACGTTGTTGCCTTCCCTTAGTTCGCATCAATACACAATTCTCTAGCCTCGCGATTGTCTCAGCGTCAGCCATCTCTAACATCACTGTATAGTAACGCCTTTACAACGCCCACGATGGCTCCTACTCGAAACCGAGTAAATTTTAAGACCTACGAGACTAGTACTCGTCTACTAGCTGCCGTGGTCGCATCTCTCGAAGGCAAAGCCAAACTTGACTACGATGGTACGTGTGCTCTATATTTGTGATCCTCTGCTTGAATTATTCTATACTGTTCTCTTGAACTGCTCTCGATGTATGTTCTATGTCCTATTGGGGGGCCAGTAGGGACGGTGCGATCAGAATACATACAAGTCGGATCGCACTACCTTGGGATAGAGGTGTCGAAACGGTTATGTTTCTATAGTGTCTGCCTGTAGTAGATAGATCTACTGTTTCCACCACGAGCTGATGTGACAGTAGTGATTGCGTTACTAGTAGGCGGAGGTAGCACGGGATCCGCTATAGAACACCGCTTGCGTCCTATTAAGCAGCTGGGAAAGTTGCAAGTCGACTGGTTTATGAACCAAAGAAAGGACCCGGGCGAGTTGCCTGTCGAGGCTGGAGGTATATTTCATATCCCTCTCGCATCGCTGCATTTCCTAGTCTTAGTTTCCCTTATCGTTAAGACTTTCTTTAACCTATTAAAATGGAAGAAGTAACTGATAATCTATTGCAGAAATTCATAAGCTCTTTGGCGAGTCTACTGTTGCCGGCATACAGTGGCAGATGCGCGATGTGAAAGCTCTGGGTCGCGCGCAGCGACAGGCCGTCGAGGAAAACAAAAACCCCTGGGAGGTTAAGCTCGACGCTCCTACACGCGCCAAGGCTTCCGCCGCGTCAACACCTACGAGCAGGGGCGGCCGTACCCCCTCTACCGCGGCCTCTTCGAAGCGCAAACGGGGCCCTAAGAAAGTGACTTTGTCCGAGGACGATACTGGCCTTGAGAGCACTGAGACCGACTACGATACAAAGGATCTCCGCTCGGATGATGACGATCTCCTTCAGATCACTCCCACACCCAAACGCCGCAACACCCAAGGTCCCAATAGCATCGACGCGGATAACACGCCCACGCCCACGCCCGCTAAGAACAACAGCAACGGTGGCAGCGGTGGTAAAGATGTCACGCGCTCCCTCTTCGGCAGTGGCTCGAAGTCGGCACACCCCAGCAACAACGAGGGTCAGGTCCAATTCGTCGATCTAAGCGAGGACACACCCCCGCCCCCGTCTAGAACATTCACGCACGCGCCACAATTAAAGGCTGACCCAGATTCAGATCTGGTGTCGGAGGAGAATAGTCCCATTAGAGAGGGCCACGACGACCCCTTCGTTGGTAGCAGCGGCGTGTACGACGACGACGAGCTTGCAGATGGAGAGGTCTAATATTAACGATCCCATAATCCGGGCTGCGGCTAAAGTGCGAATGCTAGATATCGCACTTGTTTCCATCACCCTCTCTTCTTTCGGTATTTATGACGACCAACAGGTCCTATGGCGTTCGGTTTATCGTCCATTCCCTTTCCATTAATTCGACGCCCTCGCGAACGAATGATTAATGCATGACTTCATGCCGGCATACCGCCTCTTCTCATCACAGTTTATACAAGATCGTCGTATCGTCGTCTCTTCATTTTTACTGCATTTCGTTATCAGTACTAGGATCGGCAAAAGGGAGGGGAGAAACAGAGAAAAAGAAAAGCAATGGATGGATAATTTGTGATTTTACCGATAAAGGGCGAGATACCCTATATTCTCTCATCTGACGGGAGATATATGAGTTGGTAACAACTTAAGGGTTTATGGACATGGGGGCATCTGGACAGATTAGGGGGGGCAAAATCAAGACAACTATGTATGCCGTCACTCTTTTATCTTCACCAACATTTCGATATATCTGCCTGCTGGTACATTTGCGATAGTTTTTATTTCATCTCGTTATTCTGCTCTGATTTACAAGCTGGTCCTCATATAACACGAGAAGTTGTTTTTTTCTCGCTTTGCGATGAATTTCAAAAAAACTGGTCTGCGAATGAATTAGATAGACACTAACGGTTTCATCTACCTATCTAGGCAGGCACACCAATTGTTCTGCTCTTATGAATACTATCTCGCATGCTTTCTTCTATTTAACTTAACTAGTCGAGAAGTAACCTCCATAACGCGTCCTTGTCCACGAAATCATGGTGAATGATATTGACCAGCCACGAGTCTGCCTTGGCCTTCTCGAGCAACTTTTCGGTTTCCGACCCTTTTCCGTAGATCTGCGCCCACTCGCCAAATATGCCAAACGCCTCCTCGCTCCACGCCCTGAAGCTGACTTCCTCTATAATAGTCGGCGTGACGATCTCCTTGCCCGGGAACACGCCCCACGTCACCGCGTTCGTACTCGATTCCTTGACTTCGCCCGCCAGACCTCCTGTCAAGTCGGACGAGACGAAGTCCCCCGCGGCGTTGGCCGCGTAGAAGCATATCGTATCTTGAACCTCGGAGCTCTGGAGTTTCTCGAGAAGGACTTTCCAGTCGGCGGACGGGATGAAGAATTCTACGAAGGCTTTCTGGAACACGAAACCGTGCTGCGGACCCCAGCCGAAGACGGGATCGGACGAGCGCAGGCCGTTGACGGCGGGTTGCGAAGCGACGGTCCACCAGCCCTTCTTGTTCAGCTGGATGAGCTGCTCGGTAATCATCCCGGTCTCCTCGTAGAACTCCTCTTCGCTCCACGGGATGGCCGAGAGCTCCTTTTTCAGATGCCGGACCATTATATCGTTGATATCTTCCCGCTTGGTCGGGTGTCCCCAGAGACTGACAGCTTGCGCGTGGGAGACGTGTAGACTAGGCCCGTACCCGTCTATCTCGCCGTAGGCGGGGGATCGGGCATCACCCCATCGGCCGTTGGGGAAGTCGTCCCAAGTCGCTTCTCGGCCGAGGACGCCCTCGCCTTCGGAAATCGCCAAGGTGTTAGCTCGGCTGTTGATGGGATCTGCCGGTATACTGGCTTCGGCCGAGGTAGCTTCGTATTCGGGGTGCGAGACCGGTCGTCCGGAGATGATGACCCGGTTGCGAGTTTCCGAACTAACGTTCGATTGCCTGCGACTTCGGGGATTCTCTCGTGTCTGAGGGAGTATTTCGTGGTCCAGAGATCCGTTAACTTGGAGTGCCGGGATCTTGGACGTGATATCTTTGATTGCCTCTTCTTCCTCTTCTTCGATAGGAGTGCTGAGTGGTATGAGATCCGTTCTCTCGATGATGAAAGATACGGCCTTTTCGAGATTCAAGGTGTAGAAATGGAATCCTCTAGGTCCAGGAGTTCTTTTCTTGATCTCCTTAACCTTTTCGACGATCTCGCATAAGATATCTACACCAACGCTCTTCACTTTCTCATCGTCCATCTTCACAGCATCTAGACGGGACATTATCGTGTCCGGTATCTGAGCATGGCTGAGCTTCGTTGTTCGCTTGATCATCTGGTAGCTCTGAATGGGCATCAGCCCGGGAATGATGGGAATCGTCTTGAACGCGCCGCTGGGGTGATTCCTCAGGGTCTGCTCAAAATTATCATAAGCTTCCGTGTCGAAGAATAATTGCGTCATAAGGAAATTGGCTCCCGCGAGGGTTTTTTCGACCAGGTAGGGAAGGTCATGTTCCAAATTCTGACCCATAGGATGGCTCTCATCGGCATGGCCTTCGGGGTATGCGGCGACGCCGATACAGAAATAATCGCCATGAGTCTTCCTTATATACCGCACCAAATCAATAGCCCATTCAAAAGTCTCGTCTATAGCATCCTCGGGACTCTCGTTCGGATCTTGATATTCCGCGGCTCTTGGAGGGTCGCCCCTCAGGGCTAGGATGTTCCTAATACCCAATGCCTTCGCATCTTCTAATGCCCTATCGATCAATTTCCGGCTCATGTTTGTACATGTCAAATGTAGACATGTAGTTAAGTTCAACTCCCTCTGACATATCTCGGCCAGCTCGAGCGACTTCGTAGCGGTGGATCCTCCAGCACCCCATGTTACATTTACAAAGAGAGGTCGCAGCGCTCGCGCCATTCGATCAAGACGGTCGCGTAGGTTAGAGAATCCCATAGAGGTCTTCGGAGGAAAAAACTCGAGCGAGAAGTAATTCGAATCGGCCGGCAAAGCGGCTATCTTGTCCGTGATTTTCTCCATATCGAATAGTTTCGCTCAGCACGGTTTGTTGTAAACGGCGAGGTATTTTTAAATCTAGAATACAATCTAGAATACGGAAGTATATCTAAGTTAGACTATGGCCCAACACCGAGGGCAAGTCGAAAATATGATACCTATAGAGTAATTGGCCTAGTAGAGGCCGGATCGGCACGAAGGGAGTCCAGTCGATATGGAGCTACAGATGGCTACACTGTAGGTAGTAAGGACAGCGCTAATAAAATATAAAGGCATGTAGTAATAGTAATATCTTAGTCCAAAATACCGCAATCGACGTGTAGTGGTCCTTTCGTACAGTATTTGGCTTCTCGTAAACAGTGCCTTATATGTTGGCCTCTGCAGCTTGTACGACTGACTTTCTTTTGTCTTTTGTGGAAATTTTACTATGTAAAGATTCCGGTCGGCGAGGTCTGACATCGATGTGGGGTACCTGCATGGAACCCCGCATTACGGGACATGGAACTGGCGCAAAGCATGGCCGTACATACCAAGACTTTTATTTCTTACCTAATAAATCCAAAGATGGGAAGGTTTAGGTAGGTTAGGTAGGTACATACTTCAGAAGTTCAGATGGTAAACGGAGCGTCGGGTTGCACTTTCCATGTTCGGATTGTCTGGACCCCTGAATCGCCTTCTCGGAATTATTCCCAAAACTCACTAGGCTATCTGGCTATCTGCATCCTCAATCTCATTTCTAATCCAAATTCCAACTCACCAAATCGTAGGGCGTCTGCTTATGCTAATGCAATCCAAAGGCGCAATGACACCTACATACCTACTTAAGATAAGGAACCATACATAATACCTAGTGTAGACAGTACCTAATCCCTACATTTGCGCCCTACATTATGTACCTAGACATCCGTATTAATCCCTTTTCCTGTCTTAACTCTATCTTCGGAATTGTATTTACTTCATCTTAAAACAGTGTACAGTACACAATCGTAATATCTATCTTAATCGGGAACACGTGGCTTGGGCTCACGATGGAGGCATCTAATCATACCATTGTCGACACGGCACCGCCGTTGCCGAAAGATATGTCTCACCACTATTCGGATGTAACGAAGGCTCGGGCCCCAAGTAGAATGAAGGAATTCTATAAATACTTCCAAATACCGAACATCGGCCAACTTGCAGGTGGTACGAAACACCTATCGTCGTCCTACCTTTACATATTAGCCTTTCGTGCCCATCTTTCTTTAAGGCTAACATTAAACTTGATAACTTGATAATAGGTCTCCCTAGTGCCCAACTCTTCCCCTTCGACACCTTGGAAGCCCAGACCGCGAAACCAGATCGATGGACCCCGACGCCCAACTATCCGGATCCCGACGGCACGCTATCTTCCCAACTAGCCGCAACGTCCATCTCAAACCGGGCCGTAGCCTCACACGTCGTCGTACCTCACGATGCTCCGGCCTCAGACCCGAGGAAGAAGATAGATCTTGCTTCTGCCTTACAATACGGCCAAGCTGATGGATACCCGCCGCTGCTTTCATTCGTCCGCGAATTCACGCGGGATTACCTACATCCAAATGTGCCTTATAGGGGCGGACCTGAGGTTATATTCACAGTCGGCTCAACAGACGGCATGTCTAAGACGCTAGAGGTATTCAGCAACGTCTGGGTAGAAGGGAAAAATGATATCTGGGAGCGACCAGGATTGCTGTGCGAAGTTTTCATGTACGCAAATGTGCTCACCCAGGCACAACCCCGAGGAATCCAAGCCGTACCCATCGAAATGGATGATGGAGGCATGTTGCCGTATGGTCCTGGAAGTTTGGAGGATGCCCTCGCAAACTGGGATCACAGCAAGGGGAAACGTCCGCATTTGCTGTATACCGTAACGTGAGTTTTGTCCTACCTAATTATTCATTTATGAGACCTAGCGTCCTCGGATGCGAAATTCCACGATATAGACCTACTTGGGAAAATACGCAGCTTATTAACATAATTCTGCAGAATGGGCCATAACCCAACAAGCGGTGTTTTGTCTCTGGAGAGGAGGAAAGAACTGTACTCGATCTGCAGCAAATACGACGTCATTATCATCGAGGATGACCCTTACTGGTACCTCCAGTACCCTTCGGCAGCGGTTGAGGAGGCGAAAGCAAGGGGTTTACCAATCCCGGAACCAAAAGTAGCGAATACTCTTGAAAGGAAATCTGGGTATGAATTCCTGGATTCTCTGGCGCCATCATTCCTGAGTGTCGATATAGACGGACGGGTTGTGAGATTGGATACTTTCTCCAAGACTGTAGCTCCTGGCTGCCGAATGGGATGGATTACCTCGAGCCCGGCGATTTGTGAGCGTATCCTCCGTGTTAGCGAGACGGGCACACAGCAGCCCTCCGGTTTCGTCCAGGTTGTAGTTGCCGAGACTATCATGGGACCGCAACCCGAGGCATCAGCCGCATTCGCATCCCGATCTGCGAGGGGCCGGGCTACTTTCAGCGGCTGGAAAATGGATGGCTGGGTGCGATGGCTAGCCGGCTTGCGGGGCCAGTACGAGAGGCGCATGAACCGCATGTGCAAGATCCTCGAAGAGAATGCGTACCAACTAAAGCAATCGACACCTATGCGCGAGTCCGATTCCGATTGGGGCGTCATCACCAAGACCCAGCTCTACGACTTCCAATGGCCTCGCGGCGGCATGTTCCTATGGCTTCACATGCGCTTCGAGACGCACCCGCTGTGGAAAGCCGCCGGGTCCCGCGGCAACATCATAAACGGCGTTGCGCTGTCCACCGCGCTCATGATCTTCCTCACGCGCAAGCCGTTCCGAGTCCTAATCAGTCCCGGCCTGATGTTCAGCGCGACCGAACAAATCCGCAACGAGCGCGGCTGGGCGTATTACAGGCTGTGCTTCGCGGCCGAGACAGAGGAGAATATCGACAAGTGCTCACTGCGCTTCGGCCAGGGCGTCCAGAGGTTCTGGCGGATCAAGAATGTGAAAGAACTCGAGGCCCTGCTCGACGATGCTAGTGCGGCGCAGATCCAGGAGCAGGATGAGGAGGGTCTGGTGAATTTGGGGAGTTGGATGGGATGTTAGGGTTTTGCACGGATATATAAAGGAGATGTAGATAGATACCTAGGTCGAACTTGTAAGACATGCCACGTGCAGGACCCAAGTGAGCAGCATTGTGAAATATACATAGCTGCTCAGGAAGTCAAATTTTGGATATATCAAGTATCATTTGGGTATATATTTACTTTGGAGATAGAAGGTGTTTCAATTTAGAACGAATATAACGAATAAATTTCCTCGATCATAATAGTCTTATAGGCATTGGGTTCCTGTGATATGAAGGGGACTGGATGGGTGGTCTGACTTATTAGTTGGCTCGTTACAAGTGTTTCACGAGGTTGTAAGGCCATATTTGACGGCAATTAAACCGGGACAAGATACCTACAGCAAGATCCAAGCTTAGCAAGAATTAACGGACATAATTACGGCACACGAACTCATAGAGCGTTAAAAAGATAAGCTTGATAGATTACCCTTGAAGAGCTTGCTATGATGCATAGACGATCACCAACGAGGTGGGAAGTGGCGATCATAATAAGAATGTCATTGATTGATTCATCAGTCCCTATGATCCAGTACGCCGTGACTATTGCAACCGATTTACCGTTTCCCATCCCCTAGACTACGCTGCTCACCAAGCGAGTCTAATCTAATCCTCGCGGAGGACTTCCAGGAAAATCTTGGAGGGCTTAGGGGGTTTGCCCTCCTCCACCTTCTGCTGACCAATCTTTTCCTTGACGAAGGTGGCGTAGTAAGGGTTGAAGCGTAGCATGACTTGCTTGTTGCGTAGAGGGTTCTTCTGCACAGCAGCGCGCTTGGTCAAGGGACCGCCCTTGGGAGCGTTGAGGACGCTCTGGATTTCGGAGCTGTTGATCAGACGGCTCAGATCAGCCTGGACAACCAGGTTGGAAGGTAGAAGGAAGTCCTTCTTCAACTCTGAAGGCTTGGAGGTGGTGCCGTAGATCTTGTCGAGGGCCTTGAAAGCGGCCGAGGTCCAGACGATGAATCGTCCGAGGTGACCACCAGGGGCGAGCTGGAGGAGGTTCAAGGCGTAGACAGAGCTGGTCTCGACACCGGGAAGGTTGCGGGTACCAGTGACAAGCTCCTTGCCATCAACCTCGGGGTCGTAGATGACCAAAGGTCCACGTCGCTGGCGGTGGCGGCGGCCTCTTAGCTTACCCTTACCAGCGCGTAGCTTCTTCGTCTTCTTAGCCTTCTCGATGTCGGCAGCGGCACCAACAGCGTTCAGGATGGCGAGGGCACCAGCAGTCTTGGCAGCAGCACCACCCTCGAAGGCAGCCGAGTCGATGACCAGAGGAACTTCCGGAACGGAAGAGATCTGGTGACCGCGGGCGAGCAGTAGAGGGGCTACAGCGGAAGCGGCAAGAGCAGAGGCAGTAGCGAATCGCCTTTTCGAGATATTAGTTTACATAGTCAAGAGGTTAGTCGAATTATATCACTCACTTCTGGGCCTGGTTGATCTTGATGTGCCACTTTCGCCAGATCTTGGTAGGGGCGAACATGCGACCGGAACGACACATGTTACCGAAGGCAGCCTGACCGGCACGGTGGGTACCACCACCAGAGACACGGGGAATACGGGCAACGGCACGACCTGATGAAAACGGTCAGTAATTGCAAAAATGGCCATCTCTAAACCCTGATTCCTGCGTGGAGAATCATCCACGGCAGACATTTTGATCACCATCTTCCCCACACCCAAATAAAATATGAAGACTACTGACCAGTTCCCCAAGATTCGGCAGAGGTTTGATGACCGGCCTTCTCGCTCACAGCATAGGGCTGTCGCTTGTTCTTGGCCATTCCAGTGTGGACTTGCTGGACAATATCAGGTCGGATCGGGGAGGAAAACACGGTAGGAATGGTATGGGTAGCTCCCGAGGGAGAACCATCCTTGCCGATGATGGTGACAGTCGGTCGAGAGGCCATCGTAAAGGTCGTAATGCTAAAGTGATGTTGGTTAGTCAATTGCGAGCATGTGAGTCGAATTAAGACCGACCAGAAAAGATAATTGAAGGGGAATGAAGAGAGCCTAGCTTCTGCGAACTTACCTCGACGCTGGGTGTTGATGGTCTCAAGTTGCGATTTGGTGATGTTGAACTGCGAAAAATCAAAAAGCCCACCAGAGAATTAATTTTCTTGTGGGTTTGCGCGAGGGCTAAGCGAATTTTCGGAGAAGGACCCCACTATTTTTACACCAACTCTTATAGATGCATTATGCATCTAAGTGGTACCTGGGTACTTAGGTATATAAGCATTTTCTATATATCAATAGCTTCATACCTAAAGTTGCCCCTCCAATATAATTTGAACCATGATAAACAGCTCATTCACAAGTGCCAATCAACTTTCCACCGAGGATTCTATCGATACAAAACGATTGACAAAGTTAAGGGCAAAAAAAAAATTTTTGGTCCAGATAAACGGAAAAATAAATACGAAAAAGAAACTCCGAATCGGGGAATCGAACCCCGGGCTTGACGGTTCATTGATTCTTGAATCATTGAGAGCGTCAAATGTTAGCCACTACACCAATTCGGATGGATGCTGTACTAAAATGCTTGAAAATTCTATTTATATTCTATTCTCTTAGCTGGCGGTAAAATCACGGTTCGCAGCCCGGAGGTACAATAGTCGTTGTTAGATAAAATTTACGTCATCGGCAGGTAGCTATTCTAAACTTCGCTAGCGGCCCTGATATAATGCGTCGCAAACAAGTCCTGTTTAATATAACGCCTGAAAGAAGATATTACATAGCTGTTTTATAAGAAGTAAGTCTTAGCTATAATAATATCCCTTACACTATTTACAGGTCGCAACTTAGCATATCATCGGTTGCTACAGACAGCCGCAGATTTAATCAATACCGGTACCAGGTAATTGAGTTGGAAAAAGACTTGTCACAACCCCGTCCGAGGTCAGTCTATCTAGAGTAGTTCAACTCACGGACTCTGGTCTTGTAAGGATAGAAGACAAGTGTTTACGTGTATAGTTCATCTAATTGTAGGTATCTAGCCCGTCTATAGGAAACCTAAGAAGCTAATGAATTCGCCAATGACGATGTATGCCACTTACTATAAAAGAATTATGGACCGATTGAGTTACACGGGAGGCGGATTGCCCCGGAGTTTGAGTATCGGGATGTTAATTAGGTAAAATTACGCAACTGTCGTCTTATCATACTACAAGTGAAATCAAGCAGAATTCTGCGACGGGAATAAAGGCCGATGCACCGTCGCAATCCGATTTTTCTTATCTATATAGACCCCAAAAGCCTAAGCAAACCGCATCTACCATATCACATATCATAATGTTTCTTACAAGTATTATCCAACTTTACAATTGCTTCGATAACATTCGCCGGCCTGAGTTGTTTGCCTTGGTGAGATGGCGGGCGCTAAGATGCGAGAGGAAGTTACAAATTCAAATAGTGCCGAGTTGGAGACGCCGATTGCATGTATGTAAGTAATCCGCACTGCTCTTGCAGAGTCTAGATCTTTTCTATTAGTGGTCAAGGATCCAAGAGCTTAGCTTTCCCGAGCCGCTGTTGATCCTCGTTGCAAACTACTTGCATTAATTTTCAAATAGGTAGTCCCGCCTCATGCACGTGTTTCCATTTGGATAGCTATCGGATCAAAAAAAAGAAATATAATATTTCTTATTTCCTTCCACATCCAATAGCGCTTAAAGCTGGGGGTATTATTCGCTTATCTGAAGCCTTTAATGTTGTCTGTGTCCAGCAGACCACATATTACGCCGGCAAAATTTTAACTCCGGTCATTAGCCACTACGACATATGATATCTTTTTAGAACCATTGAATCGTTGAGGCACTTGAGACTCCGCTTATCTCAACTCGGTGTGGGAACCTCATCACTACAAGATACGTGCTATAGCAAAATAGATCGCTCAAACCAAATCCTAACTCATAATTCCGAGGACCCGGCAACTCGGCCAGCGCCGTAACAGTCGTGTATATATATATATATATATATATATATCCACATCATCGGCCTTCCGTAAATTTTTGCCCGGGCATAGTGCCAACGGCCAACGGTTTGAAGTCGTATAGCATAAGGTTCTATCAAGCCTATCTTTATATTGGGTTCAATTATACCAAGCTCGAGATGCTGTGCTACCGAAAGTCAGGCTACTCGTCATTTACACTACAGGTCATTGTTTATACTAATACGGAAAGTCCCCCGTCTCGGTGGCTTACGAAAACGAATTCCGCTGGTCTGGAGTGGTTAATTAAACGTGGAACTGACCAAATGACTGCTTAGCCTCTGACCAACAATAGCCACATAGATTTAGGAGAGCAAAGTATGGAATATTCACTAATGACTCAATCGGAATGCTCAACATGTATCTATACGACCCTTTCTGTTCCTTAGAGCTCTCCCGCGTCGTACTCTCATCTACGACCTAACATGTAAAATATCCGTTGATATGTAACGGATACCTGTGACGTCTCCTCCAGTCTACTCTTGAGATTCTATAACTAAACAAATATACATGGCTAGTTATTTTAACTAATTTACGGCTTACAGTTGTCGCCTAAGGCTATCACAAACCAATCCGCTTTCGACCAGTACCCGAAGTAGCGTTGCATCTTGCATTACTGCGAGGTCTCGTATTTTATGGCTGCAGGGGTGTTACAGCCGTCAGTCTCGGCGGCTCGCCCTCCTATCTCGCAGAAATTGCCCAGACATTGTTAGACATGAGACGATTGTCGAGGCGACGGTAAAATACTATATCCTAAGTACTCAGATATAATATCATCATGGATCTCGAGTCCGGCTTCCGTGTTATCTGCCCTTATGCCAATCCGGATATCTATCAGCTGAGAGAGCGCTGTTGTCCGGAGAGGATCTTCTTGGTGAGAAACCTATTTCTGGCCCCACCATTCGACATTTCTTACCTTCAGTTTAATATCCCATGTGGAACTCACCTTATTTCATGACACATTGGGGCATTGTGATTTGGCGGATGGTGTGGTTATGCATTCTCACAAGGGCCGATCCAATTTGGCCGTCCCCCAACGATGAACTCGAGGAGATCATGTACCAAGTCGAAGGCTACAGAGCCAGAGACTTTGGCGGGACTGTTATTCCGTGCTCCAACGAAGCATCTGGACCTGGTCGACAGAATGCTGCCGAATGGCTACGGGCAGCCTTTCATGATATGGCTACGACCACGTATCTGAGCGGCATACGAGCTGGCGGCTTAGATGGTTCCTTGCAATACGAGCTAACCAGCTCGGACAATATCGGTCCAGGTTTCAATACGACTCTTAAGTTCATGGCCGACTATTATACTAGTCGGTCTGGCGTCGCGGATCTAATCGCTTTGGGCGTATACTACGCCGTTAGATCTTGCGGTGGTCCGGCGGTGCCTGTTGCCGGCGGAAGGGTCGATGCTCTTGCGGCTGGTCCCATAGGTGTTCCGCTACCACAGAATTCTGCCTTCACATTCGAGCAACAGTTTACACGAATGGGGTTTAACAAGACCGAGATGATCCAAGTCACCGCATGTGGCCATTCCATTGGTGGTGTTCATGAAGAAGAATTTCCTGAAATCGTCCCGGTTGGGTCTACCTCAAACGGCGAAGCTCCTTTGGACTCGACGGTCGCAGCGTTCGATAATAAGGTTGTCACCGAATATATTGCTGGTAACACTACCAATCCCCTGGTGGTTGGTCCATCGATCAAAGCCACTAGGAACGCAGACTACAAGGTGTTCAACTACGACAGCAACGTCACAGTCAAAGCAATGGCAGGTCCCGCTGAGTTCAATAGTATATGCGCAACTGTCCTTCAGAAGCTGATTGATACTGTGCCTGATGGAGTGGTTTTATCTGATCCCATTCAACCATATTCTGTAAAGCCAGTTGATATGCAGTTGTCGCTTAACTCTGATCCGTCAACAATGCAGCTGACTGGACTTATACGTGTTCGAACTACTGATATAGGAGGGGATTCTATCTCTAGCTTAACGCTGAACTATAGGGACCGAAGCGGGAGTAACGATTGCGGTAGTACGAATTGCGCATACACAGCAACCCTCCTAGGTTCCACTCAGGGGTTCGATGATCAATTTATTGTAAGTCCACAGCACAATATATGGTTATATTCTTAGCTAAGATCTAATACGCGTCAGTGGTTCCCCATCAATACTGCTATCCCAACATCCACGGGAATTTCGTCTTTCACTGTAACTCTTAATATGGCCGACGGAACCACCAAAACGTACGATAACAATGGAAACACATACCCAATGCAAGACATCATATTTATTCAAAAACCTCAAAGCTGTCTTCTTTCTGGCACTCTCACTATTACCGCAGCTGTAAATTAACATTCATGATCTTAATCATAGGCAGTTACTGATTTATTCTTGTAGGTCCGTAACGATCGCAAATCCCTTCCTGTAAATATGTTCGTCTCATATAAGACCCCGACGGGGGATCCTAATCGTCCGGTTCCTACCCTAAAAAATGCCACGATTACCATGACGGAAGGTACTTGTGTAGGCTCATATACTTTCTATACGGCGGACTTTACTGGCCTTGGAGATCTTGCGTATGCATCAAAGATTGATGTCATTAGCGGGAGCGATTCATCTTTTGTTACTGATGACTTCAACGCAGCAAGCGAACTAGAAGCAACATGCAAGCCCTTTCCAAACCCACCAACTTCTGCATGTACCACCGGACAGCCATCAACGTCTCCCGGGTCACCAACTGCCTCATCTACTTCTGTTTCGCTATCCACCACTTTCTCTACTACTGTGAGCATCACAACTACCTCTTCTACAGCACCAGCTGAGACCTTGCATCACAGACAGAGCATTGGTGAGTATGTGCTCGTCGGATGCCAGAAAGAATCAACTGTACAGGGAACTCGAGCGCTCGGTGGCGCCGCATTTGCTTACGACAACATGACACTAGAAGATTGTATGAATAACTGTAAGAACTATATTTACTGGGGCACAGAGTATAAACGAGAGGTATGTAACATATGTCCTCTCCTTTTAACTAATCCTAGGTGTTGGACTCCCAGTCGAGCTGATTAGGGAGTTCGCTCCTAAGACACGTCTAATCCTTACTTATTGCTTAAAGAAGTAATCTGACTCTTATTATAGTGTGAGTTTCTGAACCCGGAAGAATGGCTAGTAAGTAATGCGACTGACATTACTACATATAGGCTACTGTGGCAACTCGCTCCACCCGACGAGCGAAGATGCGCCCTTGACTGACTGTAACATGGTATGCGGCGGAGATGCTACAGAATATTGCGGTGATAGCAATAGGATAGAGCTATACAGTACCACAGCTAGCCAGCCGGCCCCGACTGCTACGCTTGCTCCTAAACCAACTGTATCATCGTACGTCCGGGTCGGCTGTTACAATGAGATTCCAGGTGGCCGAGCTCTCACTGGAGCAGCTTATGCAGACGATACTATGACATTGGAAATATGCGCGGCCGACTGTAATGGGTTTGAATACTGGGCAACTGAATATGGCCGAGAGTGTTATTGTGGGAATACTATTGATAGTCTCAGCACGCCAGCTCCTGACGCCGATTGTCAAATGGTTTGTGCTGGGGATCGTTATGAATATTGCGGAGCTGGGAATAGACTTGAGTTATACCAACTAGCAACAGCTTCTTCGGCACTCGCGACGAGTACGTCGAGTCTGGTGCCTTAGACCGCTGGGTATTTTTGTTTGAGAAGTTATAAACCGAATTTGATATGGGGATTATATAACACTTCCTGGACAAATTGATGATTATTTTAGAGGTATATAAGTAGCATCGACGATAAAGAATCAAAGTTGGGGGTTCATTAAGATGCTACTCTTTACATAAATAATACGGGTTGGTGGTGATTTGTGGCACGTCATTAGTGTAAGCCGGTTTAATGCAAGGCTGTAGGCTGTAGGTGACCCAAGTACAGTGTGTACCTGTTAGTACGCACAGTGACATCCAAATTCTCAAATACTGGCAGCCGCAGCTCCTGCAGATATCCAAATCTTGACTATTCCATGCGAATGGATTTTTTGGTTGCATGTAGGGAAGGCGTGGATCACGAATCATATGCGCAAATACGTATTAAGCAATCACCCCCCACTACCTAACCCTGCTTTTCTGAAGTCTGCAGTCTACATACAATATTGGATATCGCACTCTCATTAAGCCAACGCTGTAGTTTTGTTATGATTCTTATTTCTCCTAGGTTTCTTCTGCAGAGGGCCTTATCGTAAACTTACCGTCTCGTATTGCAAGCGATCTCTTAAATCACTAGGTTTTCCTAGTCCCCCCTACCGCAAATACCTGCAGCTTCTTTTGTCAACGTTTCCGCTGAAAAAGCGATGCCTATTAGTGTCCACCGCATCCCATTAGCACATCTATACGCTGCGAAAACGAGGGCCTAAAGTCAAGCATGTCGACTGGTACGTCCCTAGTAGCTGCTTCCGTTCACAAACAGCGTTTGCCAGAACTTGCTAATCCCCAAATCACAGGGACACACCCTCCACAAATCCAACCTCACCTGACATTCTTTCCGAGATCGCCGGGGAGGTTCAAAAATCCGAACAACGGCCGACCTACGCTGAACTAAGTCCTATTTCGCCTCCGCACAGGCTCTGGCAATATGCCTTGTCCCTCGGTACGTGCTTGAGGCAGACACATACACTCTAGGATGAGATCTAATTCTCGCGACAGGGGAAAGATCGTCTTAACTTACTGGGTGGTGTCAAACCTGTAAATAATCTTAATGGAAGCAAGCAGAACTCCTCGCGCCCTGTGCAATCGTTACCCACACGCCGCCCTTCAGTCTCGTTAACTGCGCCACCACCGAAACGCCAGAAAGTCGAAGAGTACAATGCACACACCCAGGCCCAGTTCGTCCTTGCATTTGACCACGATGGGGCTGCTGACCGTCCCAAACCGCGCAAACGTTCCCTTGACAACCACAGCGAGTCTCAATATACCGTTATATCACAATCGTCCACCAAAGGAGCGCCTTCGACCAGAGCGAAAGTCCCCGAATTTCGATCCTCGGAGAGTTACGTGAGACCGTCGCCTAAGAAGAGGCCCCGACATAACACTCCAAAGCAGCATGTAGGACAACTAGATAGAGGGGTTGTCACCGGGACTCCTTTGCTAAAGTCCGATATTGAGGACAGCGACGGTGATGTAGAGATCATCGGGGCAGAGGTCATGGTAACCCCTCAAACACACCAAACTCAAGGGGTACGGTACTCTATCGAGGACGTTGGGAAGCGCTTCAAGACAACGTCTGGTGCCCAGAAGATGGAGGAAATCATTGATATTGCGATGCTGAAGGAGAACGGATCGAATGACCAGGTTTCTAGCCCGGATGAGCTGGCACCAGAAACGCAAGACATGAGAGAAAAGATGCCAACGAAGCGATCTGCTTTATCCCCGAGTTTGTCCAAAAAGGGTGATATTCCGCGAACGAAATTCACCCCGCCGTCTCGTACTAGACTACAGGACCCGGAGAGAGGGCTTAACGAATCGGATCGTGCTACGAAAATCATTGACTTGCCTCTTCGTGTCGTTCGGGCTGTATCGGGCGGTCAAAAATATGAAGAAGACAGAACGGACGGCGCGAATAGATGTTTCCTAAATTTACGAGAGATGAGCTACATACTCCATCCGGAGAATTCAGAAGGTCAACTTATGAAAGACTATGCATATCTTACAGTCAATCTTCAAAAGGCCCGGAGGCTTCATGCCCCATCACAACCCAGTTGTCGTGTGGTCTCTATTGAGCGTGCCATCGACGGTTCAATAAGCGGGGGCCAAAAGCTATTGATCGAATTCTCGTCTCCTAAGGACTTTAGAAAGTTCGTTAATTGGGCAAGAGACACTGCGTCGCATTGTCTGGTGGATGAATCTATACCTCGGTAAAATTTGACAACCCGCTGTTTAGAGAGGCTGCTAACGTAATCCCTAGGGATCGCCTTGAGAAGGAGCTTGAAAACTTGATGCGGACCGCTATCAACCGCGCTGTTATTAGAGACGACATGTCAAAGGGAGATGATGTGAAATTAATCGAGCACAACCGCGCAAATGCATCTCAGGCAAGGGTTACCAACCTACCGCGCGCCCCAGCTCCCCGAGAGAAGTTAAAGGACACGATGATGCCTCATTCTGCATCTCAGTTAAACTCCAAGACAACGGTCATATCAGATGATCCTCAGCCCTATAATATTCGACGACAGCCCCATAGAACTCGCTCTACATTTGCATTGGAAGGCCCCAGTTCGGAATCCGAGTCCTCTGAACCTGAATGTTGGACAACCCAGCATATAGGCTGGGAGAGAGATTGGCGCAATTCCATCGTCTTTCCCTTTCATGGCAAGAGTAGAGCTACCGTCGACAAGGAAGATATTCCTCGATTAGACGAGGGTCAGTTTCTAAACGATAATCTAATTATTTTTTATCTGCGTTATCTCCAACATACGTTGGAGGCAGAAAGGCCAGATCTTGCTCAAAGGATCTATTTCCAGAACACATATTTTTATGAAAAGCTCAAGACTACGAGGACGGCTCAAGGTATCAACTATGATAGTGTCAAAGCATGGACTTCTAAAGTCGACCTCTTCGCGAAAGATTATATTATCGTCCCAATCAATGAATTTGCTCATTGGTATGTCGCAATCATCTATAACGCACCGAAACTGCTCCCTTCTCCGGGAAAGACGGAAAGTACCGCTAAGAACACGATCATTATCGAAGAGGATATCGACGATTCCAGAGAAGCCTCCCGTGAGGTTTCTAGCACCCCTGATAATAGGAAATCAGCAGATGAGCTCAGAAGCCTTGAAGCGGTGAGACCTAAAGTACAGAGCGATATCACGAATCACTTTAGCCGTATGTCAATCGAAAGCCCGGATTTTCCAAATGGTATCGCTAAACAGATAATAGCTCGGGAGCCAGAAAATCAGAAGACGGATACACAGCCACCCAGCTGTAAACAAGGAACCACAGATGTGCAGCCCAATGGTATCAAGGGGGATATAGAGCATATTGTGCCATCGAATGACAACCTCCAGCGGAAGAAGACAACGAAAGGATACGGCGTGGGCACTAGGAAAAATAGCCCGGACCAGCCAAAAATTATCACGCTCGATTCATTAGGATTGGCCCATTCTCCAGCTTGCAGCTGTCTAAAACAGTATTTAATTGCAGAGCTCAAGGATAAGAAAGGCATTGAAATACCAAATCCTGGGGCCTTGGGTATGACTGCTAAGGAGGTCCCCCAGCAAACAAATCACTGCGACTGCGGACTCTATCTGCTAGGATACATAAGAGAGTTCCTCAAAGATCCCGACGGGTTTATTCGTAACATCCTCCTACATAAACCCATTGCCTGGAATCTAAATCCATCGGAGCTCCGAAACGATATTAGAGACTTGATTTTTGATCTTCAGAAAGAGCAGCAACGTCGAGAAGATCTTCATAAAGAAGAGAAACGCAACAAATCCGAGTCGCTAAAGAAGAAAATTAGAGGTCCAATAGATGAGCAACCCCTCAAACAACTGGCGAAGGAGCAGGATATCAACGGAGGTGCGTCTGGGCCACAAAAGGAGGAGGATATCCCCCAAAAAATACCCAAGGAGAACAGCATGGCCAAGCCTAAACCGAGATCGCCTACCCCCGAGGTCTCTCTAGGAACCAGACCTGTTTCTAATTCGGAAAATCGGCCTGTTCCTGGTTCATTTCCTCAGTCCCCGGCTGCGGCCAGCACTAATATAAGCGTGCCTAATGTGAGCAACCCTGAACAAGTCAAGACTCTGAAGTTCATCTCGCCACTCCCTGAATCCCCCTGTGGCTCTTCACCGGAAAGTCCTGTAGTTGTTGACGGTCCGGAAGTCCTCCAAGGACAAGGACGGAGCGCAAATCATATCCATGGCGATTTCAACCGAGCCAACTTACCAGAAGAGCCAGTTAAAGAAATCCAAGGGACCTACCAAAATCACGACAGACCGGCCGATCAATCCCGGGATCAAGAGAAGATAACAGTAAGTCGCTACTTCGCCGGCCGGCAACCCGGCGATAAGATGGTCTCGGCCAAATTACGCGAAGAGCCGCTTCACTCGGATGTTATCGATATTTCGGATTGAATTCCGTAGGCCAGCATACTATGTAAAGGGGGGATGTTGGAGGTCGGGAGAACACAAAAATGGAGGCGTTTATTTCACTAAGGAGCATCGGGAAGCATCATGGTGACTTCATAGGTGTCTGCATAAGAACGGCGTTGGGGCGGTTGTGTTTGATTAGTTTACCCCTGTATACCCCTTGTGGAGAGCGATTCTGGCTTTGCTCCGTGAGTCCGGGGCGTTACGTAGGGTGGTCAATGACTGGAATACGTCTAACTTTACTTAGTAGATCTTGGTGTGCGTAGATCTGATGTTAAGCGTTTCGATTGTTGCCCCTTGGTGTACCGTTGTCGTTGGGCATTGCCGCGTAGTCTCTTCTAGGGGTAGCGATTGACTTCAGGGTAGAGCCGCGCAGTTACAGTGAAGGATATTCAACCCTAAATGGATAATATTATCTTCGTACCTACCAATATTCAGCACGATGCCTCCGTAAATACTCCTAGTGGGTGCGATTTATTATTTTTACCTCCTCACTCCTATGGTCATCACCTTCATAAACACTCGGGTTTAGAGCATCTCTCACATCCACACCTTATAACCAGACAATTTCACGATTCCACAAGACAGAATAATTCACCAGGCCAACGTCAAGATCATAACGCGTAGATTTTCTTTTCCTATAAACCGCTATATCCCACCTCTCCCCACGGCTTTTTTTCTTCTTTTTCTTTTTTCTCCCAGACAGCCTACCGGGCCTTCTCTCCCTCCTTCTTCTTCAGCGCCGGCAACGCGAACGCCTTGCTAAGCCCGTCGCCCATCTTCTTCCACAGCCCGAAGTCCGAGTCCTGGTTCCAGGTCAGCACGCCGACCCAGGGCTGCACGTTGTAGTGCACGCGCAGCGTGACGTCGTCGGTCGAGGCGATCTTGCCGGTGGGGTGGGTGATTTGGTATTTGGGCTTTTGGTTCTTGAGGGAGAGTTTGCCGCTGGGGGGGTGTTAGTATTTTGCGCGTAGTGGGCTGGGGATAGATAGAGAGGGGGAGGGGGAGAGGGGAGAGGGGAGAGGGGAGAGGGGAGAGGGGAGAGGGGAGAGGGGAGAGGGGAGAGGGGAAAGGGTCGTACCGGCCTGGGTCTATGGTCTTGCCAGCGGCGCTCTTGCGCAGCTTCTTAAGGGAGGCGGGGCCTAGGTTGCTTAGGTGGTCGGCGCTCGGGCTCGTGATGATGGAGTCCCAGATGATGGCCTTGTTGGTCTGGTTCGTGGTGTCGGCGGCGGGCCATTCGGCTGTTACGTATACGAAGAGCTGCTTGGTGTTCCAGGTGAACAGCGACGAGAGGTCGGCGTCTAGCGAGAACTTGATTATGGCGTATTCTTCCTTCTTGGTGCTGTAGTAGTGCGGTCGACCCTTGACTCTGTTTTCTTCGTGTCAGCTACAGCTACACTGGGTGGGTGGTCTGAGTGAGATACGTGGTTGGAGGAGAAGGGAAGGGAAGGCTCTCTCTTACTTACACCTGGGCGTTGGTCAGCTTTATCGTCGCGCTTGGGGTCCGGGGAGCGGCGAGGTCGGAGGCGGCGATTAGAGCGGCGATGACGAATGCGACGGTGGTGAAGAAGCCGAATACATTTTGTATTCTGGTTAGGGAGTTGTACATGATGACGGATCGGATCCCCAAGATTGGGGGAAGGGGAAGGGGATTGAGGACAGCTGTATGTAATTATAGTCGCGTCCTTTGTCGTCGCTCACATGTAAGACAGATCTAAGATAAGATGTGAGGCCACGTATTGGAGGTCTATCAAGGTCCATTATCGATAATTGCTTATCGGCTTCTTATCAGCAATGTGAGCTTGTGTCACTTCTTGGCACCCCTATTCCATTGTGGGTCAAGTTCTCCCCCCTATTTCAATTACTCCTATACATATACAAAACACTACAGTCTCGTGCTTTATAGGTTCCAAACTTCTCACCAACTATAATTAAATGCCAATATCCCCGATCGTATCTAATTTAGCTTTCTAGTAGCACGGCCCAGAATTATAGACATCATTCATGTAGGCAGTTATTATCGACAGGATTCCAGATGAGATGCCCTGATTGTGTATAGTCACAAGTTTCCGTAGCCCGGGCCCATAGTTCCTTACGCAACAACGATGTTATTTCTAAGCTTCTTAGATTCACCCCGTGATCCCTTCATAACTTATTACGAAGGCTTTTCGGGTTTAGATTTAGGTTCATCGCGACGATATGCACTAGCCAGGTCTGGCCCCTAGCATTTATATCTTGTTAGTGATTTTTTGATGAAACTTATTCGACGCCCATTACTTACCCATTCTGAAGCATGGGCATCCAATGGGGCGAGCTGAAGTGTACCATCTGGGAGTACCAGACTTTGGACGCTTGAACTCAGGAGGATGGTCATCAGTATGTTCTTGGGCTCCATGCTACCATCATATGGCTGATTGCGGTACTCAAGTCTCAATACAATGTTGTTGCTCAAGGCTTTATTTAAGTAAGGTGATATCGTCTTTCGGGATCTTCGATTGGATTGAAATAATTCTCGAGTCTACAGATAATATCTTCAGAAGTTTTTATAAGTGTAAAAATACCAAGTTATCCCAGTTCCAAGTGTTTGAGACCCCCAAGATATATCAACAACAACTACTTACCATATATATACTTACGTATTCAGCCGTCCCTTGTCGATGATCAGCACGAGGATATCTCTTCTCTCCAAGACCACCGACCCATGCAGAACTTGGAGGTCACAAGATCAATTACATAGCGATGATCACTCACGGATGAATTCCAACAGAATATTGCAACTCTGTATAGTGGGTTGGCACGGCGCATCATTACGTACGCAGAAGACCATGGCCGGCATCTTTTTGCCGACTTTAGGCCAAGTGAAGGGAATCAATTGAGTTGAAGACTTAAAATCTAATCCAGTTTTTAGATAGTAGCAGCTTAGAAAGCCGGCTATGAAATATCTCAAACGTGGTGAGGCGATGATCATCAATGGTTAAATAGTGAGTTACCGGCTATACTAGGGCTATGAGGCGATCATTATACGATTCAAGGTGTGCTATAGACAGGACAGGCCACCGCAGGCTCAAATGGGAATATCGTTTACTTTTACTATTGAGGGTAAGGTCTTGGAGAACATATTTGGCCAAGATAAGGATCAAGATAAAACGTCATTTCATTGCGCTGGGGACATCTTAATAATAATAAAGGGAAAATTATTTTGTGTTCTCATCATTATTCGCTCCTCTGTTGTCATCGTTTTCTTAATAAAGACAAGGATAAATTAAGCACGCAATCTATAAGAATGAATTCTAAGAACGGCCGTTTCTAAGTAGTTAATTACCCATTTCCCTTTTACAACCCCCAATATTCCTTTTCACCTATCATGCTATACTGCTTTCACTATCCTTCATCATGGATCTTCCATGTCCACGAACCTATAGGCCCAAAAGGAGCACCACTAATAAGGACCTAAGGTCAGCAGGTAAGGGGCGTTGGGTTACGCATTTTCAAAGAGCTATCTTTCCAAAAGCAAGAAAGCAGTAAAGAGTCAATGGAAGAAGAATATTTACATACGATGAAGCAGATGCTACCCGATCCAAGAGTAGCTAGGAAAAACATGGCTGTCTATACAACTGTTAGAAAAAGGAATTGGATATTGGGCTCAATATTTGCCCCTATTTTTGGTAGAAGTCTTGACTGTTATAATGCACTTACTTCACTCTGATAAGAGCTTTCGCCATATATTGGTGCGCAGACATATACTGTCAGGCCCACCAGGAACGCAACGACGGAATATGCCAAAAGCATCATGGGTGCTTGCCACGTGAATACCATATTCCAACGGACGCGGATCTCAACATCGTCGTTGATAGTGTTGATGGTGGAGAAACTTGATGATCTGGTTTCTGGTTCCTGTTGCCTTTCTCCACTCTCCAGATCAGATTCTCTGATGAAGAAGCCCCTTCAGGTCCGAGAAGAGGTATTTATCGATCGTAGCGAATCCTCGTTTTTGACAATGCGGCGTATTATCAAAATATCATGCTCGAAAATGGGTGGCTGTGACTTGGTACCGGCTCGTGACTCCTTCCGGATAATAGTGGTGAAGATGAAGGATTGTGATGTTGAGAGCAAAACTGAGAAAAGAGACAGGACCAGCGAGCAATACCACGCCGCTGGTCCTACCCAGTGCTCGTGATCGGGAGTCTCCCAAGATAAACAACCGATCGCAGCCGCAGAGAGCAGGGTAGCCTTATATGATTTAATATCGTATTAGAATAGGGACGCATACAGCAACAGTAATAACATTATAACATCCCCCAACTCTGGCCTGCCCTAGGGATATAATAGTTTCAAGAAGATCACGAAGAGCAAAGAGTAGGACATACAGCCACTTGGATAAAATAGAGCTCCTGCAGCTTACGATCGCGCCAGCTAGATAGCATGGCAGCAAGCTCGGCCTCATCCTTCCGGAGCTTTGCGCTCCTAACTATAGCGAGAATTGGCAGAAGCGTGTTTTGGCGGAACGTCCGGTAATAAGGAAGGGTAAAGATGCTCATAGCAGCGTAGCCTAGTGATGAAGCTGCTTTACGCAGCGCAAACCGTAATCATACCGCAACTACGTAACACCTTCTGCTCAACATGATATAAACGTCGTAGGGTCTAGATAAGGCTGCGCCTTTATAAGTCGTAATTTAGGGTTGGGTTCTGTGTTCCTATGATAGCTTTATGGGCGGGAGTCGGTAGGGATGATGAAGTTTAGCTAGCGATCATTCATAATGGGTGTTATAAAAGGTGGTAACGTATTGACAACTAAAGGGGGAAAAAAGGGGGATCTAGGTATACCTATAGCCTCCCATCAAGAAACGTTAACATAGTTAGATAACTGGGGATACCGACTAATATACACCATATATTAAATATTTTGAAAGGCATGTCATCATCTATGCTTATCGCTGTGCCAAGTTTCCAATTTGTCAACGCCCCTTATATTTCCATTGGTGTTGGCTACGCCTCAATGCAGCCTCCGCGTCGTTACCTGTCATCTCATGCTCTCGTTCGAGGTGGGCTCTGAACCTGACTTCATCACGCTCACGATGGGCCTCGTCCGGAAAGTTATTCTCGTTACGATAGAAGGACCTCCCTAAAGCGTATGCAAGGTTTCGGATTTCGTCAAGACAATCGTCAACTGTCATTCGGAAACGCCCTAGCATGATTGCGATTAATCTATTATATCCGGGTTAGTAACGTAGGGTCTATCTATGAATGATTTGCTTACCGTCCGATAGATGTTCCAGTAATATAGTCAAAATAATGACACGGAAGAAAACATATATAATCTTGACCTCGGTGGGATACACCCTCTGGCGCTCTGCAAGGAAAAAAACTAGTGATCGCTGTCTGAACAATAAAAGAACTCAAGTTTCTTAATAGCAGCGTATATTGTTCCCAGTTCCATCTTACCTATGGGCTCTACTGAAAATGGCATCGGAAAATCACAGTCTATTCCCATGCATAGAGAGTCGAGTGGTGGTGTACGACTTGTAGATAACACGACTTAAGATCCAAAAGACCAAAAAGATCAAGGATGGCAAGTAAACAATCTATCCGGATAATTCCCCTGTTTAATAACATAAGTAGGCTGTCATGATTACTGGGAACTGCTACTCAGCGAACCGACAGAAGAAAATCTCGATTCTTGGGATGTTTTCATGGACAGCAGCCAGGAATTGTACCAAAGGAAAGATATTTCATCGCTCGACTAGACCATCAAACTCTAGGGATCAAAGGCAGATTCTTTCGAAGACATGGGAAGCTCCGGACGGTATACGTCTTAAAACCCGAGGCCAGCCGGGCCATATACGATAGCTAGAAGGATGGTATCAGAGATGGTCTAATATTATGGTACATCTGGTAGCATTACCAAACCCATTTCTTAAGACTGAGCCGACAGGAAACGGGCACTCATAGATATATGCCTTATCAGATGTGGTAATATCTGGCTAAACCTACCTTTATATATACTTGGAACCTCGTATGACGGTCTAAAAACATGTCACAAATACAATACTTGTTAACTGACATATATCTACTTCGTATCTTAATATTTCCGATTATAAATACCTGATACTAGATGATAGTTATTATTTTATTACTACCGCTCTTTGCTTTTGTGACATATACTCCTGCTACGCCCCTCCTTTTCTCGAGCATGGCTCATCTGCTGATGTTTTGTCAACCACAGCATTACACCAAATTGTACTTTCGTATTTTTCTGACAAGTTTTAACTATGTAGTGGGCCCATACCGGAATCTGGGAAAAAGGGGAATGTGAGCAGTAGGTATGGCACAAGTACCTAACCTATATCATACCTACCAGGTAGGTGTGTACTAGTGCACATATATGTACTCAGCATTAATGTACCTATTATCAAATCGCTTAGGTACATCCCCTATTTCGCTAGTAAATCCCCTTGTAGAAAGGAAATATACCAGGCACGTTGCGGATGATCATGATTTTATACACAGAATGGGCAACTATATACAGTACCCAATATGATTACAACTGTTTCTTCCGAGACGTCTCGGAATGTCATCAACTATGCCGTGACCCACCACAACCATCGCGTATAAACGTAACCATGCAGCCCTCATAGCCTCTCTAGCGGTTGTTTCGTTCCTAATTGTACATGATTTCGCGGTGTCCCAATTATCGTCTTTCGAACGGGACAGAGCTCAACCTCGCGTGAGCCTAATACTGGGAGTTATCAAATAATAACCTGGAACCGGTGCGAAAAAGAGTCTATAATAATCATTTTTTCACGCAGAACCCAACCTACCCGGCGACGGCTGTGCCTTATATAGGAGCATAAAGATGCTCGGCAAGGCAGTGTAAGAAAAACGGTGGGAGCTGCACGGGATCTCCAGCACACCAGTACTACAACAATGGTTTGAGTCCTGGTGCTGGATTACTGAGATCGTGTATTAAGGGCGTGAGGGCGGGAGAGGGGAGCTTCTATGGAGGGAAAGTCGTCCGAATATGGCAGAGATGGAGACTTAAAAGGGGATATTAGGAGACGCCTGAGCACCAAGAGCTTCTTGTTGCTCCTGCAGTTCCTCACCGCCAGCCTCTATGCTAATTCCAAGACCGACCTTGGCAGATTGCTAAGAATTAAGTAATTAGAGGAAATCCCGCGTCTAAAAAATCTCAGAACAAACTTACAGTGAAGTGGTCGACATCAGCACAGAAGGACATCATGACAGGCGGTGCCACACGCTTCTCTAGTATGCAGGCCAATTTTCCCTTGGAATCAACTTGCGCTCGGAAAGTTGACATACGGAAATCATATTTGACACCAACGGATGTAAGGCCCTCCTTCTGCAAACTACCTCCCATCAGACCCCCAGGGCCGGGAGCCACCTGAAGAGTCATGTCGACACCGGCTTGGACTTTATCCGTCAATTTCCGCCAGTATGTTGTGTTAAGGGCGCCTTGCCCATGGATTTGGGCGGTTGCGATCCAATCGTCGGACTTATACTTTGCGCAATACGATAAGGCAGACTCGGGCGGCTGATTAAGCGCAGCGCGTTGCCAGACGGCCTCGATACCGAGGGCAAGTTTGCGGGTAACGGATTGTAGATGGCTCAGGATGTAAATACCAGTCAAACCACCTTCGAGGTAGGAGGGGTTTAGCATCTTGAGGGAAGAAGTGAAGTCACTGCCCGAATATTCATGTTCAATTGAGGCCATATCCTGGGCGCCTATGGAAAATTGCGTCTTGGTGACAAGAGAGGGATTCCAACGGTAGTTAAACCTTGTTGATAGCATACCATTATTATCCATACTTCCTTGCAGAAATACCTATGGCAAAGTAGATTACATGTTAACATGACATTTGTTTGCGGGTAATGGAGGGATCGACTGACTTTGTTGGTGCCAAAGAGACCTGCAAATGCGTAAGGATTCTGATGCTCGCCCATCGCAAACTGATGCGATACCTGGAACAACGGCGATAGACTGACTGCCTTAGTCAGGTCTGCTCTTATACCGGTGTGCATGTAATTGGCCAGAGAAACTTCACGCTGAACCTCCTTTGCGATAGTCTCGACGGTACCGGGATTGGACAAGCCGAGCCTGGCTCGTCGCTCGGAGAAGGATTTGTATACATCGGAAACTGCATTGGCTATGGGATTCGAGGTTAGGAAGCCTAGGGGCGACGGCCCAGACGGTTGCGACTCGAAGTTGAAGGCCATGGTGGAAGCAGAGCTGTCAGGGCAAACTGACGTCTTTGATAAGAGATGACGACAGAAGATACGGCGACACACAATTTAGAAAAAAGACTCGGAGGTTTGTTTTTTTATGATAAATACGAGAACCCAATAATTAAGAACTGCTGAATAATAGTTACCCAGCTTCCCTCGTCTGCGAGCTGCCGACAATTGGGTTGTGTTGTCGTTTTTTATTAGCTTGCAGTGGTGTCAAAGAAAAAAAAGATTCTTGGTGCAGGCGGCTGTAAGATCAAAGATCCTGGTTGGCGAAGTCTCCATTTTCGTCAACGGAATAATCCTTGTGCCGCTCTAAATCTAAAAACCTTAACTTTCGCAGCTTACCTAAACCTCACATGCAGATAAACAGGTACGTACCTTTCTGACGTAGTTAGGTATCTTTAAGGTTTGCATCCACCCGTTTCTCCCCGTCCTTACGTAAACTCGGTCTCAGCCGCCTTATTTCAGATTTCAGATCCATAGATGCGTCTGAAAGAAGTTCCCAAACCCACATTGTGCATGAAGCACCCGCTTTCTTCTATTTGTGAAGGACCAACCTATTATTCGATAGTTATCTTAAAGCTTGTTTCGCGCTTGGTAAAGTACCTTCTGCGCTCTATTCAAGCTTCGTCGGGCCAATTCCTACCGCGAAATCTATACCTAATCTCGTTCCCGAGCTTTTCTTAGGAACTTCAAATTTGACTCTTCCACCAGAGATCCATATTTCTATCTTTTGGAAAAGGAAAAAAAAAAAAGTGATAATTTACCCCTGAGTCTGCTTGTGGATACGTCCTATGGCAGATAAGTCCTAAACTGCTTTTCGTCATCTCATCCCCTGAGTTGGTAATTCCTCATCTAACCGAGGTCTTCCGCTCTGACTATAACCCGGAGAAGATCAAGTTTAAAGTCGCTTTCAAACTTCAATTTTCATAACTGGTAAGCTGCTTTCCGAGCCATCTCTTTCTAAGGTAAAGAGAATATAGATCCGAGAGCCAGTTCAATCACTGCCGTGGTACCTAATAGCTTAGACAACCAAAAACGACTGTCGAACTAAGCTGTTCTCATTATGGATACATTACTGTAAGTACAAAATACTCGCTTGATGGTTGTCTTGATATTTGGGCGGATCCACGATACAGCGGGATTCTTGACTACAAGTTCAGGATAACGGGACGGATAGTTGGTTGCTTTGCTACTTTCATGGGGATGGACATGTGCTCTACACTTATCCCGGTTCCTTAGATACTGAGAGCATCGGGTTGGTAAAGACATACTCGGTAGGATAGGAACCGGTTCCCGTTAGTTCTGCAATATGAAATATAAGGCTCGAGGTTCACTTTGGCGCAATTCTAATGCCAAGAACGGTATAATGCTAACGGTAATAGTACTGCGGATATCGCTGCGAATGCTCCGAGGTATCGGCGTAAGAGCAGCACCTTTATCGACGGAATTCACGATGTCCCGGAAGATGGTGATAGGGCACCGGCCCAGCTGTACAGTACTATGTCAGGGAGGCTTTTCCACTCTGGCCGTATTGCCATTGTCATGGTGGGACTTCCTGCCCGAGGCAAGACGTAGGTCTCAATTCCTCCGGCGTATGTTGCGCGAGCGTTGACGCTTTTATAGTCATATTGCTGTCTCATTAGCACGATATCTACAATGGTATGTCAACTACCTGGCGCTACGAACTTGATCTCATATATTCTAGGTTAGGCGTTAAGACGCGGATTTTTCACCTCGGCGACTACCGTCGAGCTACCGTCGGCCAAGGTGGTCATGTGCCTGAAGACTATTTCTACCCGAATGCCTCGCCAGCTTCGATCGTCTTGCGCCAGAAAATTCTCAAGAAGTGTCGTGAAGACATTTACGGCTGGCTCAACCACGAGAATGGCCAAGTAGCAATATATGATGCAGTGAATCCTACCGCAAGTGGTCGTCGCTCACTAGCCAAAGAATTTGCGAAGCATGACGTTCAGGTAAGACTTTATTTGAAAGAGTGTCGTTGGGTGAAGAATTAGTGTTAACGATGCCGCAGACCCTGTTCTTAGAATCTTACGTTGACGACGACAACCTCCTTCGAGAGAACGCACGTAACGTCAAAATTGGATCCCCTGATGTACGGCACCTAAGTGTCCCTCTTATTTCAAGCACGACTAATATTAGCAGTTTGCCAATATGGATCCTGACGAGGCTGCTAAGCTATACCTCACACGTATGGAGACCAAGATACCGGCATTTGAGACCATGAACGAAAAAGAGCTTAACTACATCAAAATGATAAACGCAGGCCAGAAATTCTTCTACAACAACGTATCCTTCAATTATCTCTCGCACCGTATTGTCTTCTACCTAACCAACACTCACATCAAGTCCCGAACAACATTTTTCGTTCGACCTGGCACTGCCACGGAAGAAGAAAGTTATAAAGCGGACCCCCCATTATCCGAAGAAGGCGAGAAATATGCCAGAGTGATGACTGAGACGGTGATTAAACACCGCGAGCAAGAACGAGCCGCACGGATTGCAGAAGGAGGGTCTGATGTACCGCTACGCCCGCTGACAGTATGGTGTTCAACACGTATGCGCGCGATGCAAACAGCAGATGTCTTTCAGGAGCTCGGATACAGAGTTCGCCAACGAAGTCAGATGGCCCAAATTAACCCGGGAGTTTGTGAGAGGCTAAGCGAACGCGCTATTCGCCGTCTCTACCCCGAGGAAGTAGACAAGCATGAACTCGATCCTTATCACCACCGGTATCCGCGCGCCGAGTCCTACCACGACCTTGCTGTACGACTCGAACCAATTATTCTAGAGCTTGAACGTGAGCAAAACGACTTGATAATCATTGCTCACGAAAGTGTACTACGAGTCCTTTATGCGTATCTTATGCACTGCAGCACTATGGACATTCCTAATCTCAAATTCCCACGGAACGAAATTATCGAGGTCATTCCGGGCGCTTACCAAAACGATGCTAAGCGTATTCATATCCCGGGTCTCGACCCTAAGACTGTCCCTGGCTCTCCTGAGGATATAAGGATTCCCGTACCAGACAATGATATCAATACTCCAGCACCACTTCCAGGTGAAGGCCTCTCCGCGCCTGCGGTACCGCCTATTACTGCCGACAAGCCACCTGAGAAAGTAGTTAATACGGCGGCCGAAGCGGTATTGGACAAGATCACAGATGAAGATTAACTTAGCATAGATGCTCATATAAATTCCAAGTACCTCGTCGTATCAATATACTAGGCTGCTTCAGTATAACCACAAGCAAAAAAAAAAAGGCCACCGGCTCGCGTCGGTATCCAAGACTCACATAACACTATCATAAACATTGTCTATCTAATATTATACTAAATGCCAATTAAATAACCATGGAAAGTACGATGATAAAGAGGATCTCTCTATGTCAGTGTGAATTCTTCGAAGCTAAAAGATGAGAGACGGTATTATGACTATTCCATCTACGTCACATGATAATCTTAGGTCCAAGAGTAATGTTGAAACTAGTGTTTATTTTATTCAAAGGGAATCTCGACTGTATAGCTTAACTTAATGAATATGTACCTGGGCGTTTGTTCGGGGTAAATTAAGCGAGTATACGAGAAACATTATCTATTAGTCAATACGTTATTCTCAGCAGCGCTCTCTTCTTCACGCCGAATCATCGAATAGTCAGTTACCTACTTACGAAACGTAAAAACCCAAGCTTATCTTCGCTTCCTGAGCGACCTTTAATAATACCGAAACATACTTATACTCACTCTATAAGAAAATATCTTCGTATCGGATCCATCCGTCTTGCCATTTTTCGTACACACATTCACGCCCTTATATGTGAAACCACCAACAGCCCCATCTAATACGCAACCTATCAAAATTACTTATCGATGATTAGGTACTTTATATGTAGGTAGGCACCCACGTAAGTATCCACTTACCTATATCAATCTACCGAAGCCCATCCCCCGGAGTATCCATCCAGCGTAGTCCGCTCCGCCCCGGCGGTGGCCCCTCCACGTCCAGCGGACCGTGTCTCCTACTATGGGGCCGCATCCCCAGGCTTTCCGCCAGCGGCCCCGGAAGACGTCCTCTTCCGCAACCCTCCGGTACCCCGAAACCCGTCCGCGCCTAGACCCCGCGTTGCTGGTATAGGCCGGCCGGGCTCATATACTATCCATAACTCGATGTGAAAAAAATAGCATACGCTTGTATAATTGATTAAGATAGTGCAAAAACGCATACCGCGAACTTCAGACTCCATTACAAGACCACTTTTGCGATCAAGATGCAGTAGAAGACGTATGTTAGCACACATGCTATATAAAAAGACGCCGCTTGAATGCTGTCCAAGTAATTACCCATTTTCCACGTCCCATATTAATGCAATATATTTTAACCGAAAGTTCGCTCATTACCCGAGTACGCCTACAGATCAACCTCTCGTTTTTCAAGTTCCTTGCGGCAAATCTTGTGTATCACCAACGCCTGTCGGGTATCTTGTATCTGAAAAATCAATAGTCCAATCCATCCACGTGAAGTCATAGCACTACTGGACTATAACACCCGAAGTTAGCAGATGCAACTACAAAGGACTGTAAGAAGAAAGGAGCAAATGAAGCCAGGTAAATCGCACTTGGATTGTTACACCACGGCTCCAACTGTGATCTTGAGTAGACAGTGCCCCGCAGCAAGTAAAAGAAAAACTGATAGTAATATACTTACCAATGCATTCCCTATCTGGCATGTTTATTCTCTTACTATCCTTCCCCTTGCCTTTGTCGGACTTTGACTTCCCTTTTTTCGGTGTAGGTGTGATATCTGCATCATTATCTTTTATGCGTTCTTTTTCAATGTTTTCGACGAATTCGTAGTCATCTTCAACTTCCATTGATGTCGAGTCCCGTAGTGGTTCCTTGCTTGATTTTATAAAGACCCCGAATCTGGTAACCGACAAGCTCTTGCGGCCCTCACCAGCTTGACTTTGGGGTCTGCTTTTATTACCGCCTCTGAATCTCGCAGCGGCCCGGCTGAGCCTTTGAGCCGTGGTCTCCTCCCCAGGTGTGACGGCTGGTGAAGGTCCCTCTGATACTGCCGCGGGGCTCGGGATGCCGGAATCGTTGTAGACGCTGCCTCGTCGGGATACGCTAAGAAATCCATCTTCATCCGCAAAGCTGCGACGTGGCGGCGGCTCTAAGTCCGCCGAAAAGCGTATCCCACCGTTGGCCGCCGGCTGGGGAGCTAAGTTATCAAAGTAGCTGCTTGGCCGACGGGAGCCCGAGAGTCTCTCCTGACTTTGTGCCGCTGAACTTCCTGAACTAGTCAAGTTGAGGGCCGCGTCATCGTATGACGGCGGCTCTATGTCTGTGCTTGCGGTCGAGCTGGCTGCCACCTCCACTATCGGGACAATCTGATAGAAGAGTAAGTAAGGCATCTCTTCCTTGAGTGATTCCTTTATGTCATCAACAAGGGTTACCCGATTTTCAATCGCAAGGTCATCGAATTTGACCCACTGTGCCTCTTCATAATCTGGAGGCGGGTCGCTATCATGTCTGCGATTATCAGTGAGGAGCTTAGGGGCCACGCGGCAAAAAGAGACGTAGTGGCCGGAATGTAGCGAATCTCCGCGGTGGCAGACCACAGATTGAAGCACAAGCTTGTACTCAGTAGCAAGTCCGCTTTCTTGGACATGTCTTTCGTCAACAATGAAATGGGGCAACCTCAAGCTATCGGGAATATCGATATACGTGTTCTGCCGCTTCATGTTGCCGCTCATATCCATCATATATCGTTTCAGGCAGATCCCGACCACGGGCCGTTGACTAAAATGCCGTGCGACCTCCAGGTCGCTCTTTGGTTCCTTATTCGCAGGGGAATGCCACGCTATGATCTATATTAGTCTCGTAACCCTTAAAAGAGAGTAGAACGTCGTACGTATAAGTCTAAAGAATTGCCAAGCAGGTATTGTCACAGCTCTAACAACCGATTCTGTGTGCTTGGCTCTCTGAAACAAACTAGCGGTATCGGATTCAGACGGTTTACCCTGCTCATCGACCACAACTCGCTGTATTAGACTTCCAGTTCGACTCCTACGTGGTCGTAAAATTGTCTGAGGCCCTGAAGCTTCCGCTTCGGAATCTGTTTGAAGGTCCGAGAGACGAAACTCTTGGGCTATTGTCCACCTTCGCTCTAGATGTGGGCCATGCTCGGATTCAGGTGTGACGCCTTCTTCCTGTGTGACGCCTTCTTCCTGATCTTCCTCGGTAACGACTCGAATCGTACTTTTGGGTTCATTGGGAGTATCGAGGGGTTGTGAGTATGGTATCGTTTCAAATCGTTCTTCTGCCTTTGTCTCCTCTAGACTGTCCCTTAAAACATCGACCTGGGAATTGAAGTATTCTTCTAAACAATCTTCTAATCTGATCCCTTTTCCATTGTTATCCGGCGGTACAGCAAGGTTCAAGAGTCTTTCGTATACGACTTTGTGATCGGCGTCGTCGTTTTTTCCCTGATGAAATAAGTCGACTTGTAAAGTGAGGAGAGGAAGTTGAAGAGTCTCCGTAATGAATGCGAAGGCTTCGGATGTATCCTGCTGTTCTAGTAATTGTGCCTCTCTCCAACCACATGCAGCCAAGGCGTCCTGAATGTGCTGGGTCTGCTCAATATTAGTTCTGCCGTAGATAGCCTTGCGTTCGAGGGAAATGAGATACTTACCATATCGGTTTCGATCAACTTCCCGCTCCTCAGCATGTTCACCCAAAGTCGCAACAGCGCCGCCAACTTCCTCTGCGGTTCATCCATAGAGTCGCTCTTGAGCATGCACTCGAACGATTCAAGCTTAGCAAACATAGCAAAAAGTAGTGCATCGAGATAGCAGGTCACATTCCCTCGATTTTCGGCTCCGAGCATGTGGACTGCTGGGTTGTAACTGATAATCTTGCCGGAGAGGGAGACATGCTGTAATAGCAGCAGCTCCATAGCCTTTTCGACATCGCCGGAGGAATATTTAGAATTAAGTACATATCGAATCTGATCGTCGCTTAGGATGGGAAAGTCTAGGTCGGCAACTCGCCGTCGTATGTCGTCGATCTGTTCGAATTAACGATTAGGGTTACTTGAAGCGCAGGTGAATGTCGACATTTGCGTTGACGCACCTTGGCTCGCTCTGTATCGGCACTCGTAGACTGTCGAAATTCTGGTTTGAATATGGAAAAAAAAGCTTCGGCTGATAGAGGACGGTGTTGCTGAAGAGATGTAGTTAGCATGCAAGTTACTTATTAAGATGGAGACGTGACATATCCAATGTTACCTTACCTTATGGGCCGGGTCGGACGATCTATTGCGACGGTGACCATTCTTCTCGCGGCGACTGAGGAACTTCTTAGGAATGCTAGTCTTCATGGTGGGGTCTCGCAACATTTGAAGATTGGCCGAGGGCCAGGCTCAAGGGGGTTAAAAGTAGTAGGTGTCGATAATTTATGAGTTACAACAACGGCACCCGCCCTCGCTCATGTTCGTATCAAGCAATGCTCTGTGCGACGGTGACGGGAGACTCCTCTTTCGCTTTTCTCTTTTAAAATAAAATTCGACGCTTTGAACTATCACTGCCGATAAACGGTGTGCCAAGCCTGGGTCGAGCGTCGATGCGACTAGGACTTGTTGTTAAGGCTGTAGGTGATGGTGATACGACAAGGGAACTCGCATGGCTCAAAATGATAGTTGAAGTCGAATTGTTTATTCAGAGAGAGACGGAGAGAGACAGAGATTAGAAAAGGAGAAGAACAAGAAAGGCAATAAGAATTGTTTGCAATGTAACGGGAGCTTGCAGCAGCCAAGGAAGTTCCAGAGGCTGAAGAAGTAAAGTTGTTGCAGCGGTGGCAGTACGGGGCTCTGCGCTGCGTGTAAAGTTCCTGACGAAGACTGAGCGTTTCGCGTCGTCAAGGGCCCCAAAAAATAGTGAGCTGTGGATGATCCAATATGGGGAAACTAAGGTCGCTTATATCTTGTCTTGATGTTTGATTACATTATATAATCGTATTCGGGTGATGCAAATAGGTAGGAATTGACGTTTCTTTTTCCACCACGGGTTCTAATTAATCAGTTGTCGAGAGATGTTTCTCGAATTTATAGGCAAGGTGAGGCGCTAAGAGTAAAGAGAGGTGGGTTGTGTAAGTTGATCGAAGGAGAGAATGAAACGAACGGGACCAGAGCTGAAGCAAGTTTCTTTAAAGGTAAAAAAAAAGGCAAGAGGTAGATAAAACTAAATTTATTTCATTTTATTTACGTTGGTATGGTACTTGCCTTAGGTAAGTTCATTGAAATGTATAAAAGATGCAGTAGGCGCAACTTTAATCAGTTACACCAGGCTAACACGTAACTCAAAAAATAGGTCAAAGTGCGACTTTGCGGACTTCTCAAGTAGGCATAGTGTAGATATTGGGGAGGCACCTGGCAGGTTTCTCGGGATGGGGAAACAAAGTAAACTAACCTTCAATAATACACATGCCTCCGACATCATGGAACCTTTTTTCCCTAATGAGAAATCCAGAAGGGCCGTTTCTCCCACTCCATTGGCGGACCTCGGCGCTGCAGGCGATCGAATGAGATCTCACGGGTCTCCGTTAGCCGCCTGGGTACATATGTACTATCAGACTTTAAACAGCTGTACGAAGTATCTACATAGTAAGTTTGAATCCTCCGGCCGGCGATCTATTTGGTTAATTGCCCGTGGTCCCAGGAATGATGTAGGTTGAATTATCCAGACCAACGAAGCTAAAGTCTTTGTCGAATCAAGTACGAATGCGAAATCGGTTGTAATGAAGTGCGTAATAGGTAATCTAAGAATTATTGATGCCTGAGAGTGACGATGTATTGTATACATGTATTGTACAATACCTACTTTGCTTTTCAGCCTTACCATTGTCAGCTTCCACGTCTTGTGATATGTCCATATGTTGTGTACATGCGTAATGAGCATATTCTATTAGGTACATAGTCGTGCCGCTACGAGCACCATCGTGATGCAATACCAAAAGAAGACAAGCTAGTATCCGTAGCCATGGCACCTAAGAACGCTACAATGGAGGGTTTATCAGCTGATCGACATACCACCGCATCGTCGGGTGCTATTAGTATCCCGAGCCTTGGTTTCTAAGGTAAGTTATGGTTACCTAAGGTGACGATATATATTATGTATTATCAGTCGATCTATGTAGATTTACGTATAACCTACAAGCTGTTGGTGAGTGATGTAAGTTGTTTTTGACTTAGCCCTGCGTAAAGACCTTACGACCGGACAATTCAGTACGCTAAGTACGCGCAATAATACTCAACGGCTGATACTTGCCGTCAGAAACATTATCAGAAACAATACATAGAAATAGCCTCAAATAGATGTAGTTAAGTGAAACAATTACGACGTTGGATTGCTCGTGAAACCATCACATAAGAGCGTCCCTGCATATTGCATGTGAGGTCCGGAGGTAGGTATGTACATTCCTATACATTCCTATTGAATGTATCTAAGGTTACACAACGTGGGGTTGGAATTATAGGTACCTATGTACCTACGTACGGAAGTCCCCATCAAAAGTTTTGTCCATAGGCCAGCCCTTGTTAGCTTTTGACTAGCTTTGACAGGGCTTGGCAACAGCTGTAGGTCATCGAGCACATGTATGTACTATCTATAGTACACTACTTTCGCTTATACATAATAACTCAAAATCTTCTCCTCAAACAATAAAAGTTATATAGGCGTATAAAGAAGCTTTTGTACTATAATAGATCCAATTTTAATGTTTTCATTAGCATATTGAAGTGAAGCTAAAATTGGATATATTATAAAAGCTAAAATTTTGTATACATTTCTAATCTTGGCTGCCGCATGGTGTCAGGTTCCAGACAGCTGCATCAAAAGCTGTCAGGTGGCACGTATGGACAAAACTTTTGATGGGGACTTCCGTGCATAGTAATGAGAATCACCAATCATAAAGCTCCAGTAGAATTATCTTAAAATAATACTCGGATTAGTAGTTTCGCCGAAAAACTTTCCCGTGCTGTGGGACCGTGGGAATTGGAGACATGCGCCTAGGAAATTTCCGTCTATCTGAGCTTTTGAGGCTGTAGATCGATTGCGCGGAGTAGGCTGTGAGAAATTCGCTGTCAAAGTGCGCCAGACATCATGGCAGCTCTCAGAGAAGCCCCTCGAGCTGGCCGACAGCTTCTTGGCACTGCCTCGCGCTGGATGCCTTGTTCGGCTACTCTTCAAAGATGTGCATCTACCGGCGCTACACCCGTGATACCTGATATTGAGGAGGATTCCGGCTTAACGGCGCCAATCGTCACGAGGGAAGATGCAAAAGTTACGGATCCCAGGAAGAGGGCAAGTCGCAGAAACTACGAATTGCCGCACGAGAGGTAGGCCCGACGTACAATGCGATAAGCCCTTTGAGTAGAGGAATGGGTTGCTGAATCTCGATCGCGTAGATACCGATACCATCCTCCCAAGTATGACCGAGGACCTTTGCATCCGGTTCAACCACCTCCGTCCTCGGATCCCGTCGCTCGAGATTTCGCGCCTGGGCCCTTCAACCTTCCCCGATTAAAGCAAACCTTCCACTCGACAACCGCCTCCGACATCATGACTTTAATGTACCAGCACGTCCCCCCCGGAACACCTGACAAGCCTGAAAGGATACGGTTGCGGGAATGGGACGACACATCACCCTATATGAAAAATCGACCCAAGAGAGGTCCTCGAGGTGCCGATGTTCTATTCCCACTTGAAAAGAATATCACCTGGCAGAACATTCCCGAGGTTAGGGCGGTACATCTAGCCATGTACATGCCCAAGGCGAAGAAGAACCCGGACCATATCACCGTTGGAAGGGCGGTGTTGCGGACTATCACAGGTGTCCGCCCCGAGGTTACGACAACCAAGACGAGTGTTTCCCAATGGGGTATTGTCAAAGGCGACAGGACAGGCGTAAAATGTTCGCTGTACGGAGACCAGGCTTACGAGTTCATAGACAAGGTCATCCACCTAGTCTTCCCAAAGATCAAGGATTGGAAGGGCATTGAAGGTTTGTATCCCGTGACTATTCTGAGAAAACTAGGTATTGACAAAGTCCAGGCACCAGCGGCGACAGCACCGGTAACATCAGCTGGGGTTTCGAACCCCAGGACATGCTCTACTTCCCGGAAGTCGAAGCCAACTATTCCGTAAGTTTTCGAAACTAAATTAGGCAACGGAATTAGACGTTTACTTACATGCGCCTCTAGCTATACCCATCCAAGATGATATCTGGGTGCCGCATGACCCTCGAAACAACAGCAAAGTCTGACAGACACGCTAGAATACTCTGCATGAGTCTGGGTATCCCATTCCACGGCAAACTGGTAGACTAAGGGATAGCACCCATGTTCCCTTAAGATGTACATATTCACCGTCCTGCCCTGTTAGAATCATACTGTAGACTAATACAGCTGTACAATATATGCGGAATCACAAATCAAAATAAGAAAAAAAGATGCGTAATATTGCTTGGAGCTTTACGATTGCAGAAACCCGTGACTATCTCTAAGTGTTATCATGACCACGTAGATCCCCCTTTTTTTGACTGACCCAGATGTGCCCACCAACGCCGATGATGCCATTGTCCCATACCCCATAACCATCGAGCCTTATGCAATCAAAGCCTTCTGCTTCAATCCATTAATCAGTCCGTTCACCGCATCCATATCCGTTGCGTCAATACCCTCTTGTACATCCTCACCCCTCTTCCGCAGCTCCTTGGCGGCAACGTCTAAAGCGGGTTGGTAATTTCTCACGGCGGAGCTGAGCGCATAGACTGCCTTGCGGCGCACATCCTTCGATTCTTCCTGACCGGCAGCAGCAGCACCCTCCTCCTCCGTCGTCGTCGTCGTAGTAGTCTCCTCCCCAGCACCCGCGCGCTTCTCCACCGGCAACCGGTCCCCCAGCGCCATCGCCACAAGCTTCTCCACCCCACCCAGCGCCACCAGGCGTTCCTGGCTCGGCGCATTATTCTGGACCGCAGTGCCGACGCACCACGCCGCCATGAGCCTAAGCTGGTCCTCCTCGTGGGCCAGCAGCTCGAGCAGCGGCGTCCACAGCCCTAGTTTAGACAAGAGGTTGGCGTTGTCGAGCGACTCGACTAGCTGCTCTAGGTTGTCGAAGGCCGTCAGCTTGGACTCGAGCGTGATTTCGGGGTCGCTCGATGTGATGTGCTCGACGGCCGCCTGCATCAGCTCGGCGTCGGACGGGCCGCCCATGATTGCGGCGAGGGCGTCCGCGCTCAGGGTTGACCGGGGCGCGGTGGATTCGGGGGCCGAGGGGTCGGGCGCTGCGGAGTTTTCGATGCTCCATTTTAGCAGCTCGTTTAGGCCTTTTTCACTTGCCATTTTTGTTTTTTTTGGCGATTTCTTTTCTACCCTTGGTCGGGTATTTCTCTCGTGGAAATAAGTGATGTTTCGAAATGATTCGGGTTGTATTTTTGCTTGTGCTTTTTTCTCTTAGGCCGCGGGGAGAGCTGAGAATAAACAAGCAAGGGAGGTTGCTGAAGTTTGGTAGATTACGTCGTTTTACGTTGTCTGAGACAAGGTTCTGAGTACCGAGCGATTGGGTTCGCCTTGAAGATTTTTATGCCGATTTTAGATGACAGTTCTAAATGTTGAAACTATTGGGTATTCTGAAATTTTTAAACAACGTCTTCATGGAGGTATTGTATTCTTAGGCTGTATTCGTTAACTTGCCAAAATTTTGGCTAACTGCCCAGTACAATGTTCTCCATAGATCCCCAAGATTCGCGAAGCTTCACAAGGACAGGGCTGATAAGCTGAGAAAGTGGAGAAAATATAATAGATATCGGCCAATTAGACAAGAGCTTTTATTTGAAAGAGCAGCTAAGGCGCTTTAGGTACCTACCTATCTACTATCAATTTGGGTAGAATTAAGTAAATTAAGTACAACTCCTTTTTCAACAACAGGTATCTAATATTCGTTAGCTACAGGCGCAGCAGACGGCTTTAATATCTGATAGATTTATCCCGTAAGGACCTAAACATCCTGACAGCATGATATCTTCTTCAGAAGTCATTGCCGTAACTGCCTAACATAACAACGAAAGACGATGATGATTGAGCTGCCCCACTATGAATGCCCCTCACCCCGCCTTCTTTTTTTCTTCCCGTCTTGACCGCCCTTACCCCTAACAGTTCAAGATATGAAGGTACCTATGGTTATAAAATTTGGTCAAGTTGCCATGTCACGATGTCAAATTAAATAATATTATTATCGGGAAGCCTAATTGTTAGCGGATTTCTGTCTCCTTTTTCTTAGCATCGTGAATACTTGATAACTAGTTGTTTCTAAAGTTGAAATCAACATGTTATACGCGGCACGTTGCATTACATGATTTACATCTCACCCTTTAAGTATCTGCCTAGAGTAAGTAGCGTATCAGCAAAAGGAACCGGCAAGTCCTTACGAATCATCATATATACGTAATCGAAGTAGTCGTCGAGAGGGTAGGCGAGGCTGGGATAAAAGAGGTAGGACAGCACGAGTTCTTTTGCCCCTGCATGCGCAACCCACTCGCCCCCATGAGATTGACCATTCTGACCAGTATCGGCGATGCCTGCTTGGCGTCTAGTTTTCCATAATAAAACCTACCAAGTCAGATGTCAGATGGGAGTACAGTTTCTAATAGTATACGTAATTGAGCCCCTATGCTAAGCCACAGGCAACATGATAAACTGCAAACACATGTGTGGAAGATACTGACTGGGCTATCGGTCCTCGGCGCATCTTCAAGTACGAGATAAGTTGCAGACTTCCTGAAGTGTAACCCCTGACTACCAGGTAAATACTAATATAGGTACCGTACACAGACCGCGACAACGAGGTGGGTTAGGTACTTAGTGTAGGTAGTCTATCGGTAAGTCTTGGCGAGGAGGTAGAGCTTAGGATTCTAGGCAGCTCTAAATAAAACCAGTGACGGATACGGTCATATGCTAAGCCGTAAAGATTAGGTACCTATATGTAATTACATAGTGACACCTTGTCAGATACCTAACCAATTAGATACAGGTAACTAGACAATCAGAGTATCAAAAGTTGAGGCTTTTCGAAGATGCCTGATTAATGTTTAGTAGGTAGGTACCTAACCTGAAGGAGCTTATTTACTTGGGCAGATTACTACATACCAAAATACTAAGCATATTTCCGCTTTGTGCCAGCGGTGAAGGTGCACTACCCAGTTGTATCCAGTTGTATCACTGGTATCACTGGTTCTATCCAGTTGTAATTGTCCAAGTGAATTGGGTTGTGTGCGTAGGCCATTCTTACCCCTGCAAAATTAGAAAGTATTAGAAAGTACCTTGGGTACTTTGAAGCGGTATGGCGTCTCTGATAGGCGTAGGTGTATTTGTACTTGGTTGTGCCCCGCCTCTTTTTTTGTTTCGGCCCACAAGTTCCTCCCATCGACTGTGGGATCGGTGCATCAAGCCAACTTCGTTCCTCCCTTTTTTCCCACACTCTCGCCCCAGAAGTAATTGACTTGTCCGACTTCTCTACCTTAAAATCAACTTCCACGCCAAACACCTCCTTTTTCTCGTCATCCTTCTGCCCAGCAGACGTCGAGAAAACAACAACACCATCTTTGCTCTCACGATCCGGGAATCGCAAGGGCTATCAGAAACCTCCTCATTCTCTTCTATTTTAATCTTTTAACGCCTAACCTACATAATCCATCACAATGGAGGGTAAGTTGCTACTCAACCTAAGCTCTTGTCTCGAATCCAACTGCTGGCATCGAGCTTCTAATCAGTTCATAATGGCTAACATTACTTTTCATCACAGAGGAAGTTGCTGCCCTCGTTATCGACAATGGGTAAGATTTAACCTCGCCTCACCGCATCCCGAAAGCGCACGTCGTTCTTGGGGTGATTTAGATATAATCAAATCACCATCCAAACCCTTCGATATCAGCTTCAAAATAAAGAAAATATTAGAATACTCGAGCTGACTTGATGCTAGTTCGGGTATGTGCAAGGCCGGTTTCGCCGGTGACGATGCTCCCCGAGCTGTTTTCCGTAAGTTCCATCCTCGCCCAACCATCGCCCCCGCTTCAGCCTCATTGGAACGGGCCTAAATTTGGATTATTTTGGATTCTTTTCTAACATCAATCAATATAGCGTCCATCGTTGGTCGTCCCCGCCACCATGGGTAAGTAACTAATCCGATATACTACACGTATAACCTCCGCGCACGACAATATCTAACAATAATGTTAGTATCATGATTGGTATGGGTCAGAAGGACTCGTACGTCGGTGATGAGGCACAGTCGAAGCGTGGTATCCTAACCCTGCGATACCCCATCGAGCACGGTGTCGTTACCAACTGGGATGACATGGAGAAGATCTGGCATCACACTTTCTACAACGAGCTGCGTGTGGCTCCTGAGGAGCACCCCGTTCTGCTCACGGAGGCTCCTATCAACCCCAAGTCCAACCGTGAGAAGATGACCCAGATTGTCTTCGAGACTTTCAACGCCCCCGCCTTCTACGTCTCCATCCAGGCCGTCCTGTCTCTGTACGCTTCCGGTCGTACCACCGGTATCGTGCTCGACTCCGGTGATGGTGTTACCCACGTTGTCCCCATCTACGAAGGTTTCGCCCTTCCCCACGCCATTGCCCGTGTCGATATGGCTGGTCGTGACTTGACCGACTACCTCATGAAGATCCTCGCTGAGCGCGGTTACAGCTTCTCCACCACTGCCGAACGAGAAATCGTCCGAGATATCAAGGAGAAGCTCTGCTACGTCGCTCTTGACTTCGAGCAGGAGATCCAGACTGCTGCCCAGAGCTCCAGCTTGGAGAAGTCCTACGAGCTTCCCGACGGTCAGGTCATTACTATTGGTAACGAGCGATTCCGTGCCCCCGAGGCTCTATTCCAGCCTTCTGTGCTAGGTCTTGAGAGCGGCGGTATCCACGTCACCACTTTCAACTCCATCATGAAGTGTGATGTCGATGTCCGAAAGGACCTCTACGGCAACATTGTCATGGTACGTATTTATTCTCCAGATGACTCTAATCTAAGTACTAATGTGCTATCTATAGTCTGGTGGTACTACCATGTACCCTGGTCTCTCCGACCGTATGCAGAAGGAGATCACCGCCTTGGCCCCGTCATCCATGAAGGTCAGGATTATCGCCCCCCCTGAGCGAAAGTACTCCGTCTGGATCGGTGGTTCCATCTTGGCTTCTCTGTCCACCTTCCAGCAAATGTGGATCTCCAAGCAGGAGTACGACGAGAGCGGTCCTTCGATCGTTCACCGCAAGTGCTTCTAAGGTATTTACTCCCATGAGAAATTCCGCTCCTGGTCTAAGGGTCTAACAATAAAAATAGCGCCTGAAACACCGCAAACCCAATAATTTCTCACGAGCCCGTAATATTCCCAACCGGGGCGCGACCTGTTTGGAGCTCCCACCGTTGCGAATGTATCCCAGTCGAGACTCGTATCTACGAAAAATTCTGATAATGGTCGAAAGATTGGGGCTGTATTACTCCCAGGGAAAAAGAGAATATGAGGTGCTTTACTTTTAGGAGGCCCATTCAAGCACGGGGTGGACTAGACAATTCCAGCCGAGGTTGATCATATACTACTTTATTTCTTCGTTACACTAATAAGTCTGGCGTGCCACCTTGTGAACCACAAGCATGTAAAAACCTACTACGTAATGATTCAGTAGAAACTATATTTCTCCAACGATTTGTAAATCTGCTCGTGTAATAATAACCGGCACAGGTTATAATTCTTTAAAAAAGTGATTACGGGGCAAACCCTTGCGTTATTTTGGAATACTTGTGTTTTCTCGTATATCCGTGTAGCTGGGTCAACTGCCTACCTTTTTAAGTTTATTTATAGTCTATTCTTTCATTGTTCTTCGAGCTATCTTGAAATTCCTCCTCCTCTCCGCCTTCCTCGAATTCCTCTTCTTCTAGAACCTCTTCTTCTCCCTGCAGCGCGGTCCCAGCCTGAGCCTGTTGTTTCTCCTCGTCGAGCTTACGATACTTCCGGCGGCTCTTCTTGGCGGAGCTGGCCTTCTTCTTGCGCTTAAACTCGCCGACGATGGCGGAGCGGCTCTCGTCGCCGCGGGCTAGCTGGTCCAGCTTGTCGGCTAGCAGTTGCCGGGCTATGACGCGGTTCTGGGAGCGGGAGCGGGTCGCTTGGGATTTGATGACGATGCCGGTGGGGAGGTGCTTGAGTTGGACTGCTGAGTTGGTTTTGTTCTGGGGCTGTTTGTTAATCAGACCATTCTTTCTGAACGGTGTTTCTGTGGGCTGGGTTACGTATTATAGGTGTATGGGAATGTGATATAGTAGGTGGGGAGGGTAGGGTATGGGATATATATAGGTGTAGCTGGGCACGCACGATCTTCTGCCCGCCGGGCCCGCTGCCCTTCAGGAAGGACTCCTCGATGTCTTCCTCGGGGGGCGGCTTGGGGCGCGGCGGTAGGTTTGTGTTTTTGAGGAGGGGCGGGGAGGCGGAGAAGCTGGACGGTCGAGATGTGACGGTGGTGGAATTGGAATATATATTATGGGATCGTTGTCGACTTATGGAGGGGAGGTAGTTGCGGAGCGGTTGCAGCCGCAGTAGCAGCGACGGCATGGTCGTTGTTTTGTTGTTATTGTATTGTACCGTAGGGACCGTCGGTAAGGGGCCCGTTTTAATATTTAATGAATTTTATTTTATGGCACGGCTTGCGTATAGTATACATCGCATTGAATTGAGTTTATCCTTCGTAGATACAAAATGTCAATTCTGCATCTTCGCAGTAGGCAGCATTAGCAGCTGCCAGACCCGTGCCGCGACGTCACTGGCACTTAGGTATTTACTTTTTTTTTTTTTTTTTTTTTTTTTTCCTAGCTTCAGATTAGATTAGGCACCTAGGTACATACCTAGGTACTTACCTAAATACCTTACCCTGCCTTACCTAATAAATTAGCGCGGCAGGGCAAATTCCGACAATTCAGCAAGGCACCCCATAAAAGGGGGAAATTCCCACTTTCCCGTTCGCTTTGGTCCAATCAAGTTGTTCATATTATCAGTGCAGCCGTTAAACAACAGCAGGGATCCGTGCTGTTGTTACCCGTAACCCTTGAGGGCAATTCGCCAATTAAATTACGCGTCCCCCGTTTTTCTGCGAGACCCTTTTTTTCCGCGAGCGAAGGAGAAACAACAGAAGCGAGCGTGGTTCGAGAATCGCTTCGATAAGTATATCCCTGTCTTTTGTGAATTACTTCTTTCCAAGACGAGACGAGGCCTCCAAATATCAACATACATACATACATACATACGTACATATCTACTACATACGTGCAAGATTTCTTTCGCTGCTGACAACGATTTCTTGAAAACGCTTTAAACGACCTTAAAGGCAATAGGGGAACATAAGTCTTTGACTTGATATCTGTCACGCAAACCTGACCGGTAGAGACTCGAATTAGATTTAGCAAGGGGGATAAGGGGTATCGAAAAGAAAGAAAAAAGGCAAATAATAGCCAAGATGGAGTACTTGACAAAAGAGCCCGAGAACCTTAACGCTGTTCAGCGGTTCGGTCGCTGGCTTCGGTTGAAGCAGTACCAGATCGAGGTCACGTTCGGTGTCTACATGTTTACGTCGGCCGAGCGATTTATATTTTGTGAGTTATCCGTTTATTGATGCTATTATTGTCGCAGCACTGTCCCTCGATATACTTCTTCATCAAGGAAAGGGAACAGGATAGATACATCGCAATACTAGCCTCGAGTTAAGATGGATTACGTGCTAATTGCCTCTTATATACAGGGTCTGTCGTGTTCCTCTTGTGCAGTCTATTGACCATCGCCGTCGTACTCTACCTCCCCCAGCATCTCCTCTTCATTGTCAGCCGCGCCTGGTTCTACGTCAACGGCGGCGACAGTGGGGTTGCATCCAACGTGGTCGCAGGCAATAAGGACGCATTATCACTAGCAACTTCATCTATGGCCAAGACTATGGCGGCAGCGGCTACCGAGACGGCCGAATATATGAACCGAGAATTATGATAGACACGGACGATGCCTCGGGCATATTTCTCTTGTGCGGACCAGCAGACGACGACGAATGATATAATAATGGTAATCAGTGGTGCTTGTGTATATGGTGCAGCCCGGTCTACGAGTGATGGGATGAGGCGTTAATATGTTTTGAGTGAGGTAATTTGGCGTTTAAATCGATAGATTTGTATCAATGGGCTCGCGGATGCCTTCCAAGAAGCCCATTAGGGGGACGTGCGTGTCTAGACTCTAGACAGTGGCATAGCTAGAAGCAAGCCAGTTTCACGGGGTTCCTTCTGATAACGAATATACCCTTAGTGAGCCATCCTCCCCAGCTATCGCCAGCTGATTCGCAGATCGCATTGGCCTCCATGAGAGTTGGAGAACAGCCTTAGCCAGGCATAGTCTATAGTAAACCCGTCAGTAGTTGATATTCGAGAAGTTAAGATATTAGAAACTTACTCTGGCTTTAAACTCAACTTTGAAGATACACCAAGAGACGTCGCATCGATTGAATATATCGAAACATTTCCAATCTCTGTGCCCACGGCCAGGAGAAAGGTGTTATTCTCTGTGTTACCATGTAGAAAGTCGATAGCCGTGACCGGATGAGTTTCTGGTATAGTAGTTACGCAGGTGATGCCCGAGTCCGCGGAGTCGGGCGATGCTTGTCGCCATATCTTCACCTGCTTGTCTCGACCCGCTGTAGCGAACACAAATAGATTGGTCCAGGGAGCCCATGCTGCATCCAAGATCATCCTCGAATGTCCCTTGGGGTTGGACTGCAGCATCTTATAGCTCTGCTTATTATCATTGTCCCTCTCGAAAACCGCCCATTGCCTGTCTCGCCCAACGCTGAGTAAGTACCTGTCGTCGGGAGAGAATCGTAGTCGCGTCGTAGTTAGGGAATGGGCTGTCAATGGTGGTTTCACTTCAGTCCACTTCTCCGTCTCGAATAAACGGATGACGGCATGGTTGATTGAGCTCGCTTTGCATGCGCTAGCAATCAAAGTTCCATCGTGACTTACAGCCAGGCACGAAATCTCGTAGCCGTGTCCGTAGAGCTTTTCGATTTCAGGCCAGAGGGTGTGCCGAGAGAGGCTATCCTCGAATGGCGGGTGGTCGATATCCAATACGGATTTGCGGACCGTGGACCCCGGATCTAAGGCGTCTCGGTCCGCCTCGGGATTGGCTGCTTGGACTTCGAGATCGTCGTCGACAGCTTCGATTGCCTTGTTTGAGAGGCCGAGGACCGGCATGTTGGCAGCGTCGGGCATAGTCTCGACGTCTTCATTGCCGATGTCACACAACCTACTTAGTAGCTTTGCCACCGCCTTTGGCTCGTCGAATACACGCATCAGCTTCTCGTCGGCGCCGGAGACGAACTTGGAATTCCCAAGCGAGTCGATACAGTTGAGATCATAGCCGTGGATTTGCGGCCTCGCCATCTCATGCCACGTCTTTTTACCAGGTCCGCTGTTCCAGCTCGCGTGTAACCGTGTCGTCTGGTCTGCACTCGTAGAAAGTAAATAGTCACCATTCTTTGACCATGCTATGCCGGTGACGGCTCTTGTGTGGCCAGTGATACCGATGTGTGGGATCCATTGATCTCGCTCCTTATTATAGTCCCACAACCTCCAACTACCGGTCCTCCCGAGGCACACGACCGAAGTTCCATCCGGTGACCAAAGTCCCGTCCAGAAACCACCTGTGCTTCCCGTTGCTGTAGTGGCACCCTGCTCCCTGCTGATCTCACCGAGTCGTACAGTTGTAACCCAGATCCCCGATGAAGGGTCCGCCTCCCATATAGCCAGTGTATTATCTGCGGACGTAGAAAGGAGTTGGAGTTTTCCGGTAGATGGATCCGAGTACCATCTAGCACTATAAATCCAATCATCGTGCCCTAGTAATAGAGCTTCGAACGTAATAGAATAGTCCTTTTCTACGGTTTTCAGTCTATGGGCCTTGTTTGAAGGAGACCTGCCCGGCATGAATGCGCCCATAGACGGATCAGCTCCATTTGCAGTTGCAGTGGGCAACTCTTTACCCTGATGAAACCGCCAGAGGCGAATATACTTATCCTGGCTCGCCGATGCTAATATCAGATCGCTATCGGGACTAGTTCCCTCCCATGTAAAGTCTAATGACCGAATCCAACCCTCATGGCCTGACAAGGTCGCCTGAAGCTGGAACTCGGGGTTATTTCTAGAACTTGCCACAAAGATTTGGACGATGTCTCTAGTTCCCGCTACGGCTAGGACTAAAGCCTCACCGTCCCGTCTAAGCGTACTTAGAGCTATTGAAAGAGGGAAGAATTTCGGAGTAGTCTTAATCGTTTGTAGCAAGCGAACATTCCCTTCTTCCAGAGCCCAGACTTTTATCGAGGCATCTGCTGCTCCCGTAGCAAATATCCTCGACGTCGAAGTTGCTAATGCTCCTTCATGACAAGCTGCTATAAAATTAATTGCAGCCGTGTGGCCCTGCGCGGTCTGGATGCAAGATGCGGTAGTGATACCAGAGCCATCGGATGAGAGTTCCCAGACTTTCAGGCTCTGGTCATCGGCACCACTGAGCAAATAAGTTTTAGACTCCCCGTCAAGTTTGGGGAGAAAGCTGACAGCCTTAACGGCACCACTATGTCCGGAGATGAGGTTGGTCACACCTCTTGGTTGCGAATCCTAATGAAATAAAAGCATGAGAAATTAACATAATATACTTCAGACTTTAGACCCTTGAATTATAATTTGGTTGGACGTACATGGGGTCGCCAGAGAGCGATATATGAGTCAGCTCCGTAAGCCACAATCCCATCTTCGTTCCAATCTGCTACAGCAGTGTGCCTATTGGCACCAGCGGAGAGGTAATCTACGCCGACTTGGTAATTCTCCATGTGCGGTGTTGCAGTTGTGTTTTTGTATGGGAAACACGGGAAACGATTTGGTACATGGCAAGTTGCTTTTACAAAAGTATAAAAGACAGGGGCTTATGATTGGTCGGTACTCCAAAATTTCAGTCGAGAAGTCTGCGTCAGTTGCAAAATCCCCACCCGCCGGATGCGCGCAGTTGGCATTATACCTTGCTTAGTATACTTAGGTACTTAGTTAGGTACATCCTAGGGTATAGGTACTACATGTAATCCGTACATAGACTGACTGACTGACTTATAAATCTTCCCTCTTCTACAACGTGTAGTAACTTATTACTGTTTACTATATACCTAATATTTACCGTATCCAAAGGTACCATAAACTAGAAATAGAGCCATCATATATTCCTATTTCTGGTTTATATGTACTCTCATATCAAATACCTACCTACTATTTAATTGCCTACCTCTTAGGTACCTAGGTAGGTAGTTTCAATGACGTAACAATGAAGAATAAATGATACCTCTTACATATTGAAGCATGCAGCGTACAAGAGGCTAATGCTAAATATACCGTAATTTAAGACATAATACTATAAATGGAAACTTGGTACCTTAAAGAACCAGAGTATGGGCTTTTAATGTTGGATTGTCCTATTACACCTTAAGCCACAAATACCCTACTGGACGATATCTCGGGGCTAATAAGAACGTCTCCTTTCCACGCCCGTCGAGCATCGAGCGTCGAGCGTCGTATAGAAGTAATTGGTTCGCACAAAGGAGCTCCATTCCGATTCCCCGTTTCGCAATTCCATAGGTATTCCCAGACCAGAATCGTAGGTACCATCAAGAATTCGTCTTCGCAAAGTAGGTAAGATTAGTAGACTAGTTACTAGGTGACCAGATAACTAGACAAACTCCTCGCGAACGCTACAACGGGCCAGGATGGGAAATGGAACACCCCTTACCCCCTTACCCCCTTTGCCCCTTACCAATTACAATATCCAAAACAGCCGCCCTTAACCCTGAGCTCCCTCCTTGCCGCCGTGCAGCAAGTATCCATACATGCATACATACAGACATACATATGCTATGTATGCCCGACCAAGACACACGTGCCATAACCCGCAGGCACCTGATCAGCTTGGGCGCTGATAGAGGATCCACCATAAGCTTCCGCATGAGCGTCGGCTCTATTCTGGACGGCGTACCAGCCCCTCGCCTGCCGGCCACGGGGTGCGATCGATCTGCTCCTGAATCCCGTGGCGTCAGGGTTTATCCCCTCGGCGCCACGAGGAGACGTTCAAGGGCGTCTGTCAGGGGCGACAGGCGGCATATTACTGCGAGCTGCGCGTTAGAGCTTCTCCCGCGCGCCACGCATTGCCGTCCGGACCGTGTCGACGACTAGAATGGGCTGCGGGCTAGGAATTGGGAACGGCGGCACGATGTAGGCCTCCCGGTTTGAGGACAGCTAGGGAAATGAGGGGAAGGTTTTTCCTCCCCGACAACCCTTTTTGTTAATTTCGATTCATCCAAGTCTGTCTTCTAAAATACCTCCTAACCTACTGTTTCTCACCTATCATATCATATCATAGTCTCTACTACCTGTGGGCATTCCGTGCTATACGCGGCCGCGCACTATGTAGCAGATGCAAGCTCTTAATTAATACGTAAGACGGTCAGCACTTTGATATATTGTCGTCGTTGAAGCTTGGTACTGTGCAACTCGCCTGACCCAGGAGATTTGAGATGATCTGATTCCCAAACCACTCGCTTAGTGAGACGTGCATGTGATTAATCAATTGGTCGTAACAGAACATCTCAGTGGAAGCCTAAGGGTTCTATGATACGTACGTATGTTATGTTACGTTTCCTGGCTAAGGGTCCCTCGCAATTTCCATGTCGTCGCCCCTATTCGATAGTTTAGGGGCGGCTTCTACGTAGTATCTCCTTGAATCTACGTCGAACGGGATTCCTTCAAGGGGTAGCTAGTATCTTGTAGCACCACTTGTAGCGGCCTCTGGACTGGTGATTGGTGGTTACAGAATTATGTTGGGCTTAGTTTCGTGTGGTTTTGTGTTACCGCCTACGTGGTGCCAACGGAACAACTGAAGTGTTCCATCCAGATGGGTCTCAGGTTAGTTCAAGAGCCTCACTCTTCAGTAGATAGTTTAGGAATAGTGTGCATCTGTTTTCACACAGGATTTCATGGTCGAGCTTTCTTTTTGTCTGCTTTTGGGGGTAGTATCTTTGCCTCGTGTTATGGCATGAGGGAAGAGTCTTAACAATATTGGGTTATATTGGGCAATACCGCTAATTTAACGATATTTTATTAGGCCCATGGAGTCTTGGTGGTAGTAATAGCGGAAGTGGCAGTATTTTGTGCAGTATCTTTTTTTTAATACCGACCATGACAAATATAAGTAATCTCGTAGTAAGATACCGGAAGATGATCCGAAGTCACATCGCAACGACCTGCCGCGGTAACCGTTGTGGAGTTCAACTTTAAAAATAACACCACACCGATGTAGCATATAGCTACCATATAGCTGGCTCTCAGTTGCTGGAAGACACCTAACCTAGGTAGTTCCTCTTCGTATGTTGGCGTAGATGGTTAGAACAACCCGTGCTGAATCTCCCGAAGATAGAAGTCGGCCGGAACCCGCCAATCTGAACATCTGACCAACATAATTACAAAGCCGCATTCGTGGTTCATATCGGACCGGTAATGATACAACCGCAATGCAGGGCAGCCGGGCGAGGCGCCCGTGGGGCTGCCTGCCCGTGTACAAGTAACTCATGTGCGGTAGCTATGATGAGACCCAAAGTCGGTTGGAATAGCCCAATCAAAGCGATCATGAACAATACAGCTTTTGAGCGAGGCACCTCACGAGACAAAATATTGGCTGTTTCGTATCCGTCTTCTAGTATTCGGTGTCAGTGATAGGAAGATTTGACACCACCGGTAATCCCATCCCATCTGCATACTATGACGGGATACTTTGGTTGATGTTGTGGAACTGGGACGGTCCACTCATTGTGCCCTTGGATTGCATGTATGATACCAGAACAAGCAGGATCAACCGCCAGGAAAACCATACGTGCAGTAACGGCACTGGAGAAGAGGTTTGTGGATAGCAGCAACCTCTCATATTGGGCAGTGACGTTGCTAAAGAAGCGTATCAGAGCTCACTAAGTCTGCAGCTAGGTCTAGTTAGTCAGTTAATCCGTGAATCCGTGCAGTTTGCAGTTCATGAGCAATATGTATGTATGCTAGGTCTCTGCCGGCTGTGGTTGCAGCAATGAGGAACGTTCCGCAGTTCCTAGCGCTGACGGTCCCGTCTGCCAGTTCTCTTGTCAGGAACCAAATACTTGGTCGAGATACTTGGTTAAAATACTTGGTCAAATACTTGGTGGGAAGAAGGTCTATACCCCGGTAAATTTGACCAACAGGCCTACCTCCTAGCTATTATTATGAAGTCGGCTTGTCGGGTTTGCCCACCTACTTGCAGCCATAAGACTGTGATAGAAGATGCATGTCGCTCGATCCGGAAGTAAGGCCCTGGCTCTCTAATATCTATAGCTCCCCCCTTTGCACTACAGAGCTGGGAAGAATTTCAATCGACTCTATACAAGCTCACTACGTAGTTATATGATCGGCGCTTCCGTTGCACTAAGGTGACGACAGATCTTGTCTAATAACCGAACCTCGTAAATCTGGAGCTAGACCACATGACAGAGGCTGCGCTGCTTGCCACGTCTGTAAGCTAACCGCTCACCCCCCTAAAAGATTTTATACAGCAGGGGGGATTTATAAAATTGCGCTTTAAAGTATGGGTTGCCGGCGTATCCATAATGTGGTGCGGGTGAGAATGATCAGATAAAGCATAGAAGCAGGAAGATCTTTTCGCTATCTTGCCGCATCGAAAAGGTGAGCAGGTTGACTTCACCAGAGCCTGCATGCAAGGGTGTGGTGAGTCCGGTTTCCTCCTCAATTGTCTTCTTTTTTTTTATACCCTTCCCATTTTATTCCGGCAGATGACGAAGATTCCTGCATTCTCCGAAGTGGTGGTGGTATTATCGTCATTTGTGACAGAAGTTGTTAATGCTGCACTCTTTCATTCTACCCTCTCTTCCTAGCCTGTCTTTTTGTGTCGACGTCAAGCTACCCCGCCTCGGGCATTATTATTATTATTACCTTAGTGCTCTAGTCTTATATGTAGTTATAAGGCGGGATAAAATGAAATATTCCCAAAGCGGGAATGCGGAACCTGGGAGCATGAAAAGTCACGGCGTGTAGGATGGGTATGATATCCTCGACAAGCCGTATTGCGGCTGATCCAGGCTTCTCAGCTAGTCAGTGTGTTATCAAGGGCATTTCATTTAGCAAGAGACCTCTCGGGTTGATGATCCCCAACTCCCCAGCGTTTATGATTGGCACTCTTGGAGTCAAGTCGCTTTTTATGGGTTGCGCGGCATTAAGCCGGATATCATCGACCTCCTAAGAATAGCTCTACTGGGTTGCTGGGATAGATGAAGGCTTGGCCTTCTGCAATGCCATATGACTGTCTACGCCGACACCACCGGTCTCCATTAGCTAAAAGCTGCGATGAATTGAGGAAGACCCAGAGCCACTCCGACCAGTCTCGTATGAATAGGTAGACTGGTTCGATTAAGCTATGGTGCTAATGTCGGAGAGTTCGTCATTTGATCTTCAGACTCGGGTATTGAATTCTAATAGTTTAGAATTTATATTCGCCATAGTATAATCTATTCGTGACGGCAGCCAAATTAGCTCTGGTAACTTTAAGAGTGAAGATAAAAGACAAGCCCTGTGATTGTTGACCAAATAAATCTGGCCATGCCAAGTGTTCCACAGGGGTATGAAATCTTGAAAAGAGTATAGTTGTAGATCAATGTAGGCCTCCGTTTCTGTCCGAGTTATACGCACAAAACCCACTGGTATAAACCGCACAATCTTGAGTTGGAGTAAACGCGAACAATACGGGCTATTTTGATCGATA